TTTTGCTACAATTAATAGTCTGGTTAATTACAGCAATCCTTTGGTTAATTACAGCAATGTATTAATACAATATGTTTATATATACCAAAATCTATTTTCATTGTGTGTTCCTGTGCAATTTATTCTCAAGCAATCTTATGCTTATTTCATAGATACTGCCTGCTCTGCAGAGCAGGCAAGCAGTATCTATGAAAAAGAATCAAGGTACATCAATTGACATTTGTGCATTATTCTCAGAAACCATTCATTCCTGAAAACAGGCCCTGATGAACTTTTTTTATTCCTCTTATAAGGAATCATTACCCTTCCTCCTGATATATCCTGTAGATATCTTTACATTTTTATTTAAATTATTTTACAGATTCAACTTTAAAATATATACAGTATATATTTTTTAAGGCTGAATCTATAAGGTAGAAAATTATACTACTTTTGAGCTAGCAGCTCTGTGTAACTAAAATATATTGTAAGATTATTTTAAGAACTGTTAAACTGCTTTGGAACAATTGTTATTATTAATGATTTCCACAAAACAACTAAATCATAAATAATAACTCATTAAGAATACATTCTTAAAACATATTTTGGTAAATATATATAATTTGGGTAACTAGTACATAAATTTGTCTGTTTTACAAATTTATTGTGCATATATCTGGGTGCTTGCACATATGCACGCACAAATGTTCATAATGTGCATGTTTTTACATGCTCATTATGTTCTTTCAATGTAAGCTATATTTTTCTGAATATATTATAATTATATAAAAAAGAATCAAAATTTAAATAAATACAAAGTTATAAGCCAAAAAATTACCTAATGCACTAATACAATATATAATAATAATGATTATTTTATGAATAATCATATAAAAAGAAAATTTATTGTATAAATTTATATAAATATATTTAATGCCATAATTAAGTATAACTATAAATATTTAAAATATTTAAATATTTTAAATATTTTTGAAACTATAAACATTAATAGTAATGATATTAGTGAGCCATAAAATTCTTTGCAGTTGTATGCATTTTTTATCACTGTGCTGTCTAACTTTATCTTTAAAACTTTCATTTAATTTCAACATGAAACAAACAACATTCCAAAACTGAAAAATAAATTTAAGGGAAAGTTTTACAATTTTAATAAAAAGATATGCATATAAGGTTATATGAACAGTGGTTAAACAGAAAAAATATCTATTAATAAACATAAAACATTGTTACATCATTTAATTATTTTGTGCTTAATTTATCCCTTCATTGGGCATGCCTTTTACTTTCATGACAGGACACATGGCTATTACACTGCATATGCAATATTACTTCATATCCTCCAATATTTAAAATTATTAAAATTTTACTAATATATTACTAATTAAAAATTTATAAAGATAAATAAATATTTAGAAGTTATTTCAATCAGTAATTATGACTATCTTGACTATGAATTCCTTGAATATCCTGACTATAATTAATAATTAATAACTATTTCCCCCTTCACTTTTTGACTCTGCCCTCTGAAAACTAAGAGGACGTTTTAATCATTCTCATATCACGGATTTGGTTAGGTCCACAATGAGGGAAGCTTGGCTGAGGCAGACTGTTTTTTTTTTTTTTTTAAATCAGAAAAATAACAATAATAATGACTATTATTATAGTTATTTTGCAATGCTATTCAGGTGTCAGCCACTCTGGAGGGCCCAGAATCAAATCAGAGTAACTAAAAAACTTCAGGAAATTTTCTAGGAGTATGTCCAAAACATATTGTGCTCCTGAAAAATTCCTGGAGTTTTTCACTCGCTCAGATTTGATTCTAGGCTCTACAGAATGGCTAATACCTGAATTTCCTCAGCCATCGGTCCAACTGACTATTTTTTTTTCTTTTTATCAGAAAAATTTATTTTATATAATTTCAAATATTTTCAGACTTTATGTTTGTCTGCAAGGTTATATTGTCTATTAAACATATGAAAAAATTATTTTCACCAGTGCTAAAAAGTGGATATATTTCATTTTAACAGAAAATAAGTATAAATTTTTCAAAATGTTAAGGATTGTTTATATAAAATTACATTTATATTCTGATAAAAATAAAACAAGAAGTGTGTTATTTTAAAAGTTAAAGAAGACATTTCTGTACTACTGATTATATCCTAGCATAAACATGCATAATATTAATTCAATGTTCAGTCATGTCCAAAGAAAAAAACAATAATTACAAATAAATATTGTATTCCAATATTAATAAAAATGGGAAAGATTCACTAATAAAATTTTATAATTAAATTTAAAATGTTTCTAGAATTATTATAAATCAATTCTATATTTCAAAAGGAATCTTGATTTTAATACAAATAATATTAGATACTTCATTCTACATTCTAAATGGCTACAACAGACAAAATAATTTTCCATTAACAAATGTGAAAAATGTACTTTTGAATATTAAATTAAATTCTTTAAATTTTTTTCCAAAAGTGAAAACTTTTAAAATATACTACAGATCTAGAATAGCTCAGATATAGAAATAAATAATATACCTGTATGCACAAATTTTAATAATATACCTAAGAAATAGAATGTCATTTTAATAATAAGTCAAGCATTAAAAGAACTTTGATCTTTTTTATTCAAAAGTCATTTGTCACCCCAAAGCCCATTATGAGTAATTAAAAAAAAAAAAAAAACAGCTATGGAAAGACCTTGAATTCAGTTTCATTATCTAAAATAACATGAGATAAGTTTAGACTATCTAAACAGGAAAAAAAAAATAAGAATGGTATTTTACACAAATTTAGAACAAAAGAAAAGTATAAGAAACAGATAGAACATTTCTGTGAGAATAAAAGACTATTTTAAATAATAAATTGAAAAAAGTAAACAATTCTTGTTCTAGATAAAATAATGGTACTTAAATATACTGTAACACTTGATATTAATATCATTAGATTTTTTCAAAACAAAAGCATACAACCATTTATAATTCATTAATTATTAGAAAATCAATAAATCCACAATACAAAATAATTCAAAGTTTCAGCATTTTTTTATTCAAAATATTGAAGTAATATTCACAATTCTTCTTACTTATAATTCTCATCAATATCACAGAGTTATATAATAAAATTCATAATCTTTGATAAATTAATGTTTAACTTTTTTATTATTAAATTAAAATGTAAATATTACATTATGTAGTTTAAATTTTCATATCTAAATTTAATATTAACTTCATAACTGTGGTTTAATGAAACCAAGTGCTTGATTTTTTTTACAAAAACTTAACTGATGTATGTTGCATTCATGTCAGTCTCTTTGTTTACAGTACTTAAGTTATTAGAGCTGATAAAAGTAAGCAATTTGTCCTGATAAAATCTAACATTTTGATAAAATTTACTGATTAAGTTCATATAATTACATGATGCTAAAATAAAATATAATTAATATGTCTGTAAGTTAATATCAAGTAATATCAAGCAATTCATTCCAAGATGAAGAATTTAATATTAATATTTTATAAGAGAGATTAATTTGTGTGGTAAAATAACTTAATGTCTACAACTTAGTAACATTAGGTCAGTGGTTCCCAACCTTTTTGGACCAATGGCACACTTAAACAATCACACAAAAGTTGCAGCACATCTTTTTATTAAATATCACTAAACCAGTCAACAGGTCAATCATGCTTTTTCTATGATAGTTTATGAATACCAAGTTCTGAATATAGTTGAAAACAGCAGAAATACACTTTGTTATACTTTTCCAAATATTAAAATTTGTTTTTAATTTTTACTATTCATCTAATTTTCATAACACACCAGTTGGGAACCACTGTGTTAGATTATTGATCTATAAAATACAAATTGAATTTAAAAATATCCTTAAAAAAATTTTTAATGACCTAAATAATCATCAATTAAACCCAAATTATCAAAATTTTTAAGAATACAGTATTGTCATTAGAATTAATAACTGACTCTGAAATTAAGATTACATAAATTTTCAATTATTAATATTAAATCCAAATTATTTTTGTACTAAAATATATCTTTAAAAATAAATTTAAATATATTTTTAAAAGTTAAATTTTGGAATGGATTTTATTAAAATCGAGTCAAAATCTCTCAAATTTTACAAAAAAAAATAACAAATATAACTCAAAAATTAGTAATTAGAAACTATTCATTTATAATTTATCATTTTAAAAATTAAGTTTTTAATACATTGATTTTGTATATTAAACACAAATTCTAGATATTCTCATCTCTCATTATGACAAATTAAATTTCTAGAATGCATGCGAATATCTGCATGTGAAAAATTTTTATTTAAATTCAGATTTAACCGAAATTTGAATACGAATCTGCATGAGAATATCTAGAAATATGGATTCCAGAAATTCTGATTTATCAACAAACAACGTAGCATTCTCATTTAGAATTCATATCTAGTTTTACATTTTCAAGTCAGAATATCTAATCTATATAGAATGTACATATGAATTAATCAATGCAGCTTTTCACAGTTGGCAAAATTTAAACATGCTAATAATTTTCATTGGGTTAATGGGGCATCTTCAGGAATAGACAGTTAAAAGTGGAATCAACTCTCCATGCTTGAAGATGATCCGTTAACTGGGTCAAAAGCATTAGCATTCTTGAAATTTCCACCACTATGAAAAGATGCATTGATTAATTCATATCTACATTCTACATAGATTACATATTCTGACTTGGAAGATATGAATTCTAGATGAGAATATCTAGAATTCATGTTTAGATATCTTCCTATGGAGTTCCTACTAGAATATACTGTAGATATGAGAATTTCACATGTGAATAATTCTACACATTCTTTCTGCTATTAAAGACATGTTTTTATCTTTGTATGGCATTATATATACGGGAAATATTTTAAATATCGATTCTAAAAGATAAAAGCACGCGATAAACAAGAATAATGGAAACAACACGTGACATATTAAATGGACTTACCTTTGAAAGGAAGCGATTTTATTTGCCAAGAATCTCCAATGAAGAATGTTGTGAATATTCATATGTTTATATTCAGTGAATTTTAAAAAAAAAAAAACAGCTATGGAAAGACCTTGAATTCNTATATACACAGTATAAACTTCTTATGTCTTCTATTACTTTTCGTAATTTCGCGCCTGCGCGTATCATTTAAAAAGTAATAAAAATTTATGAGAAATTATATTCCATATAACATGAAAATTATTTAAATATTTTTAAAAAAATTATTTAAAATATTGTAGAATATGTATTAAATTATAAATAAATTTATGCTTATTTAAAAAAGTTACTTTTATGCATTAATTTTTTTCCTTATTTGATATTAATGCACGGTTTTTTTAAATAATTAATTTTTGTAAACGTGAAAAAGTTTTTAAGATAAAATAAAAAAAAATATTTTAATGTTTTATAAATGATTAATTAAAATGATGGCTTTATTCAACGATATAATTACTAGACCCCGAATTGAATAAAAGTTAATGTAGAAACTAGTGCCACCATCTGAAGTCAAAGAAACTACGCGCTGCCATGACAGTCTAAGGCAAAAAGTGCCTATGCTGCGGCAGCAAAAAGAAGCTGAAATGCTTGAACCACCACATCAGATAATCAGCCTCATCGTGATGCTTCTATAAAACAAATGTACACCAAACTTGCTCTGTTTATAGATTTATTGATCGGTTTGAAAATATTCATATGGGACTGTCTATAAATTACTTCGCATTTTTATTGAATTTTTACTCTCCCTCCACGTCTTGTCCCAGTTTTTCCAAGTTTCCCTCCCTTCTTCGGACGTCCAACAAAACTAGATCTTCCTTAAATCTTTATCACTTTATGAATGATAGATAGATACCGTAAGTAGAAACGAAACACAAAAAATTTTGAAATAAATATAATAAAATGTATAAACTGTATAAATTTTTAATGAAATATACGGACGTCCACTGAATCACAACTCCCCCCCTTATCCGATTTTCGTGCCACTTAACTTACCTCCATCGGGGCGGATGGCCGAGCGGTCAAGGTAACAACCAACTGCTCTGGGGGATCCGGAATCGAATCCGTACTGCGTCGAAAAATCTCCAGGAAATTTTCGGGGGTGGTGTGACCGGATATGTCGGGCCCCGTCCCTCGCCACCCGACCGCCCCATTGTGGACCTGGCCGAACCCATAATAAGCTTGCTAAAAGATATCCTCTTAGTGCCCACAGGACAGAGAGTTTTAAAAAAAACCACCTCCATCCCATCCAGTGTGGACGTCATTTATGGACAGTCCCTATGAACGATTGTATATTATCCAGGGTAGGCACTCCTTGATTTTCAACAAAACCCCAGGAACCAATGGTGTTCGTAAGTCGAGGAGGGCCTGTGTATGTTTCTTGTATTTTATGTTCCATAATTCGCAAAATTATGAAATTTGGAATTGTATTGTTGTTTCAAGAATTCAGTTTTCAGAATTATTAACAGTTTTATTGTTAATTAATGCGATTTTCGAAGAGCTTTTACGTAATGTTTTCTGCAACGATTGCTGAAAATGCGATGTTAATGATTTTTACATTTATTTTGGTATTCCTCGAAGTGTCAGCAAACGCCAGAGGAATTTCTCAAACCGGACACGACAACAAATACCCAGCGATCGAATGGAAAGATGGACATGCTTCCATTCGTTTCGAGAATCAAGATGAAATAAACAATCTCATCATTAACCACCGAATTATGAGAAAACTACTGAAAAAGACTTCAAAACAAACCATCTTCGACACCCTTCCAAAAAATCAGGATAAGAAATCCAAGAAATACAGCAGAGTTCAAATGGAAATGTCTTCCAACGTGAAGAAGTTCGTCTCTACCTTCGACGTTAGAACAAATAATAAAGACAGCCACAGCCAAAAACTAGACAAAATGTTGAATAAAATGACGTTTCAAAATTCTTTTTCTCCTAAATATAAAGACTTGTTATATGACAAACGAACAAAGTATAAGAAGAAAGAAAAAGATGAAATCGATTTAAGTCACAAACATCAAACACCAAAACGTAGTAACAAGAGTGAAACAAAATCCAGAATTAGCGAAGAATTCTTCGACTCGGAATATTCACGGATTCTCAAACATCGGGTGTTGTTCTACATCTTCGGATCCTCTGCATGTATAACAACTTCCATCTTGATGTTCGTTATAATAAAATGGATTTTGTCATGCAAACATCGAGTCGAAATGTGGGTGTCGAGAGTTGCGTTATCGCACATAAACAAGAGATTTCCCGACAGTTTTCGAGAGACAAATAACATCGATTTGCTGCAACCATATCTGAAGACATACGACATCGATGAGTTGAAAATTCCAAAATATACGACAAACATTAATTGCGAAGATCGAGTGCTGCAATCGAAAGCATCTATCAGGCAAACAGATGTCGACATTATACGACTAGAAGGATTAAAAGAGGAATCGAAATTACATTCAATTCTGAAAAATTCATTAACATCCCAGTTGAAAAATGGAGACAAACGATTGTTTTCTATTGGTATGAAAAAGGACAATGAAGGAAAGAAGAACAAAAGCGTTGAATTTAAACCATATGTCAGCTGCTACACGTACAGAAAGGACCTTCCTGTCATTTGCAAACCACGACCTCTAAAAAGACATCTTGGAGCTGGAGATGTGAAAAATTGGCAAGAAATATTAGACATTGAGCGCGTGAACAATAATTCGAAGAATTTCTGGTTAAAACTGTACCCGATAGAAGACGAAGTCTCGTCATTTGATGAACTTCGAGACACCCTTCTGCTTCTTCACAAAGAAAAATCTATAGAAGATAATTATTTATATTACCGTGATTGTGTCATCAACGTTAACGACGAATTATCGAACTGCTACGGCGATGATCGAGCGTTCGCTTAATTATTATTTTAATGTCGAAAATTTTGTGATCTTTTAAACGTTTTCTGATTAATAATTGCGTGATTATTATAATAATATACTGTATTTAAAATTGGTGATACGACATAATAAACGATTTCTGATTGCCTTAAGTATAGTGTCTGTCCTCTTGTTCATCTCACTTAGAGGGGGACTTTCTCAATTCGGTTTCCCGCCAAATAATAACTTTTTTGTATCGTTTCGACCAGAAAAATGTAATTGATAATGATTGATTTAAAAGCATTGACAAATGGATAAGATGTTGTACAGTATACATTGTGTATACTTATTAGGATTGCTTCATAAAGAATATAAGTAAGCCGACTTCTAGGGGAAATCAGTTAATTTCGTGTCAGTGATGGGGAAAGTTAATTTCGTGTCAGAAAGGGAGAAGCTGTCAAAACCATGAAACGTCGATAGTCGAAGACGAACCTTCGAAACAAACGAAAATGGCAGAAAATTATCTTTTAAATCTTATAAATCATGTTCCACCCGAAATTAAACAAAATCTAAAGAAGCTGCTAAGAAAAAAGGCTATGAATTTTAATTGCGAGATACTTAAAATTTTAAGCTATTTTAGGCAATTATTCTGAACAGATTTATGTATACGTATTCGGAAAATAATCTTTTAACAATTTAAAGTAAATATTTTAACGAGTTATTCACTAATGAATTTATACGATGATAAAGCAAATGTTTATAGTTTTAACACGAGAAGTCGAAGCAGCATATAATTTGATGTGCAATTTTAGTGTTTAATCTTATTATTTGGAAGCCTTCTACTCGCATAAAACGGTGATAAAAGTCCATAATTAATAAGATTTCAATGTGGTTTGATGTGTAATTTTGCTTATTTTCCGAAACTCTCAGGTTCCATTTTATCACTTAGAAGAATTCTAAACTTGGAAACATTCTAGAAGAGTTTTAAGACCTCGGTATTGACTTTTAAATTGTATATAAAACAGATTCTAACGTCTTAAAATATATAAAAATGAAACTTTCATTATCATTGTATTCTGTAGAATCGCCTAAACATATTGTAGAGAAGAAATACGCTTGGAAAGTTATGAAGGTCACAAGCAAGCTCAGTATTGTGTAATTTTAAGTTTGGTCTTTTGTGTTTCTTAGCACCAAATATATCAATGAAGTAAAATAGAATATTTATAAAATTTGTAAAAATTAATTAAAAATAATTCAAATTTAACTTCTTATGTTTTTCTCCATCTCTTCCTTGGAATAAAACAATAAACTTATTTCATCATCATCTCCTCTCTTCTGTCCGATTCAAACAAAAATACGTAAAATGTATAGGGAGAAGAATGAGGAGAGATGAAAAAGGACAAGAATGAGAGGAAGGAAGAAAATGATAAAAAAGACAGAAGGGAGGAGGATGAGGTGGATAATAATTTATTTTATTAATTAACTATAGTCAAACTTCCTACACAACTTATCGGAATAGAGAAATAGCCGTTGTTCGGAGTTATTCAAATGTATAAAAAAAATTAAAAATTCCAAATTACTTTTAAAAATTCGAACAGATTTCAAAATGCAATTAGAATTAATTCCAAAATTTTATTTTTCGACTTTAGAACGAGCCATTATTTATTGTAACATCGTCACAGGGCCAGACTGCAATTTTTAATCATGTTTTAAAATTAAATTTAAAATATACGCTCTCCACTATAAATTAGTAGTGACTTGCTCTTGTACATTTGAATTAGAATAAATTAGGATAACGTGACTTCCGGCTAGAATCGGAAGTTCCCATAATGTTAATCAAGGTCTCCTCTCCTGCCTTTTAGCTTTCCGGATCTGGTCCGACTTTCATTTATCTCACTCCGTTCTCGAGATTGTCATCCGATAAATAGGGATGAAGATTTTTTAAATTTCAGTAGGAGTTTTAAATAATTAAATTAATTCTAAGTTTACACTTTAATTAACAACTAAAAAATTATGTGATGCCTCACGTAAATATACTAGTATATTAAAATATTCTATTAATGTACTAACCGAATATTACTTTATTCAGGGTTTATTCTTCAACAAATAAATTAAATTCAAAATTGTCAACGCAAAATAGAACTCTTACGTGCCTCATGGTGGCTGCCATTCTGTTTGCTGGTATATCGAGTACCGAAAAAGAAGCTTGCAATTTGCTGGAAGCATCGGAAGTCATTTGAGATTTTGGACAGAGGTGTTTGTTGCATGTTGAGATTTTTAATACGCCCTTTGTTTGGCTGGACGCGCGGGGTAATGCTCACACAACGAGAAAAACGCGTAGTTTTGCAAAATTAGCAGCGAGGTCACGTGGGCACGCCGACGAAAACCGAGACAAATTTTTCGCGAAAAAAATCGACGAAAACCGAAACCGACGATAACCGAAGTATTACTGTATAATTTTTATAAGGATATAATTTTAAAATATATATATTCTACTTCTTTATCCTCGCCTTTTCTCATGTTTATATGGGGTCGGCGTTTCCTTCTCGAATACGTTTATTCCATTTCTCCCTATCAAAGGCTTCTTCTCTCTTATCTTTCCAACGCATCTTTGGTCTTCCTCTTTCCTTTTATTACCAGTTTTTCGATCTTCTTTCCAACATAATTGTCAATTGCTTCTTCGCTCTACGTGGCCAAACCACCTCAACCTGCATTCTTGCATCTTCTTGCTCAAGGGGTCCATTTTTACATTTTACATTACATTTAGTGGATAACTCCCTCTGACCTGTAGCATTAAATGCTACTGGCTTGAGGTACTCTTATTTTAATTAACCCTGCTTCGCATATGCTTTGCAGGTCGTTATGATTACATAGCCGCGGTCGTAGCCGCAATACATTAATACCCGACAATTCTATTTTTATTTACATTAATTATATTGTTTTGTTGAGTAAAGTATTTGATATCATTAGTTTGACAATGATCTATGAGAGAAATTTTTATAACAAGTTTTTATAAATTCATTGAAATAATAATATATGTTAACATTATTTATAAGGCTACTTTTCCTAACAGGCCAATTGTAACCTTCTTTATTACAAACTAACTTTAGTTCGTTTCTTATTTTTTCATATTGCATACAGTCAAATAAGATGTGCGTGGGGTTTCACTTACACCACAAATCTGTTTTCATCATCTCGATGATTAAATCTATAATGATATTTCGCAATTTCTCAAATAACCTTAACAGAACCCCTAATAAAATCATTTTTTATTCTATCCTTCATTGACACTCCACACATCCATCTCAACATTCTCATCTCCGTCACCTCCATCTTTCTTTCTTGGGCTCTTGTTATTGCCCATATCTACGCTTCATATAGCATTGCAGGTCTAACAACTGATTTATACAATTTTTCTTTCAGATTGCAGCTAACTTTCTTCTTGCATAACACACAGCTCAGCATCCTCCAGTTCATCCATCCACATTGAATTCTATGCTACACCTCCGAGTTTAATCCTCCTCCTATCTCGACAAATGTCCAAAGATATTTGAAACTCGGAACCAAAGGGAGCGGCACATTTTGGATTTTAATATTACACTCGTCTCTACCATTCAGAGTCATATAAGCTGTTTTTTTTCTGCTTATCTTCATGTCCTTTCTTCCAAAACTTTTCTCCAATCTTCCAATTTCTTCTCAGCCTTGGTTTGGGAAAGTTCACACAGCACAATATCATCCGCAAACAGCATACTCCGATCAGATGTTGCGTTGTCATAACAAAATGAACCAAACTAATTCTAACGAGTGATTATTTATTGTGACATGGTCACAATGCCGGACTGCAATTTTTTGTCACGATGTTCTCAATTCTTTTAGTGGTATCTTGCCCCTGTACATCATACTTTTCCTGTTAGCAATAGAGTCCTGTCGGTCATCTATTCGGAATTTATAGGTCTACAGTATTTTCAAATTGAAGACCAATAATTTTTTATAAACGCGATATTTACCAAAACATACTTCCCACATAGTTCATGCAATCTGTTGCCAAAATATAAACACTTTATTATCACATGATAGCAATTATGCAGATTGATGAAATAAGACAATGCAACACTTCCATGATCTGCCAAGGGAGTGTTGGCATTTGGTGGATGAACGGATGAACGTGAACTGATCAAAACAGATCAATTAAAATTTTTACGTATGTTATATTCAGTTCTATTCTTTCCTTGTTATATATACAAACTTGTGTAAACAACAGTATCAGATATTCTGTACCATTTCCAAACAGAGTACCTTATGAGCTTCAATCTGCTTTTGGATAACCACACCTGCTCTTATATCTAAATATCACCACAGCACAATATAACTTATTTTACGATCATTTTATATTACTACAGTGGCCAAACTGCAACTTGCAAGCCACACGTGGATCTTCTAGACCAGGGGTCGCCAAAAGTGATCTATTATTGGGCCAACATTATTGGGGGGTCGATGAAAGGCTAAAACTTACAAATTTTGAACTGAATATTGCTAATCTTGCCAAGGATTATCAATCTTATCCGTCTCATTGATTGTCAGTTACAAAAATTATTATTAACATATATACAATAAATGTAAAAAATGTAAAATTAAAAGATATACTGTATAATAAAATAGTAAGCTTAGTACCACCAAACAGTTTTGCTTGTAACACAAACTTTTTGCTGGGAGTCGATGTGAGGTTTCGAAAAGTTGTAGGGGGTCGACGATCCCTGTTCTAGACCCTTACTGCCAATCTCGTATAATCACACACATATAATATTGTATAAGTAGCACATCTTGAGTTTATAAAAAGGAATTGTGTAACTATATGAGAGCTGTAATAAGGGCCTATTAGATCTACAGTTTGACCACTGTGGTAACATAAAATCCAATATTTTTGCAATGTATAAAGGTATGTTATTTTTTTGTATAACATAATTAAATAAATGACAAATCAAATTATCAGAAAATGTTTGTTTAATGCCTACTTGATGACACCAGTTTGATCTGATTACATAAATATTATAGTTGCATTCATTTAAAATTGATACTGCTCCTAATTTGTGATTGACATCACAGATGTCACCTCCTGATAAAAAAATCATTTATATTAATTTTGGTTAATTAATATATAATTACATTTTTAAATATAACAATAGAAAATTTCATTTTGCTAATTAAGATAATGTCCTAGAAAGACTGCAGGAATGAAGTGAATAAAATCGACAAAATAAATACGAGTAATAAAAATATTTATAAAGAAGAAAAATTTTAAATCAATATAAAAAAAGAATCACTAATAGTGAGACTAGTTTTATTGGTGCATATAAGTTTTTTCAAGCTTGTACTTTTTTAATTATGATATTTTTCTAACAAAACGAGGATTTCGAAAAGGATAAAGAAGCTTTCAATATTTTTACTGTGTTATTTAATTACAGAGAACATGATTATACGAATTTCCAAATTTTAATTTACAGCATTCAAATGAAAATAAAAGAAAAAGGATATCGATTGTTATATTTAGCATGTATATGCCATACAATGCAGTAAAACCTTGGAAACCATTAGACCACAGATAAGAGATATACTAAGTAATTCAAATAAAACTCCGAATTCGATTTTTCGTGGAAATCTTTCCGTTGGAATACATAAATTAACCATCGAGAACGTACTGCGAGAGGAATAAAATTACTTATTTGTGCAAAATAAAAAATAAAATTAACTTGCTATAAATTAAATATTTCACTCCTAAAAGGAATACTTCGGTATTGGATAACAGTCATAAATTTAACTTCGGTATGGCAGTTATAGAAATAAGTAGCTGCGTTTTGGAAAAACTATTGGGTCGAAAAAAACCACAGTGAAAGGCATTTCTCTTCGAAACTTTTTAGTCCAAATTTGGCATTGGCACAAATGTTTCTTTGATGTCCTATGCTTATAGGACGGACAGAAATGAGATGAGTGATCGTAGATCAAATTCCAGATGATGTTTTCGATGGCACAACAGTTTTTCGTCAGAAGAAAACTCTGACTTATTATCATCGTCATCACTGAACATTGATTGCGACGTTCTGCATCTTGATTTAATTTACTTTTATCTCACAAAATTTTGTCACTGTTGCTACCTTTTAAGTTTTTTCTTTTCGATCGTAAATTGTTTTCCGTATCTCCTGGATAAATCTTTCACAAATTCAGCTTTAAGTATTTTCAAGCATCTGAAAAACAAATTAAATTCTTTTATTGTCGTCATTAATCAGAATTATTTCAAATCAAATATTTAAATATAAAATTAAAACACATATTTCTAATTTAAAAATATAAGAGAGACCTTATTTTAGATTATTTTCAGAACTTGGACAATAATTTTTTTCATTTATCTTAAAAGTAAAGCTTGTATCAGAAGTATTTTTAAATAGATCTAAAAATAATTTTACTTAACATAAAATGTATTCAAGTAATTAAAAAAAACAGGTAAAATTTCAGTTTTAAATGAAGGGTTTGTACCTGGACTCCCCAAAGTTTAGACTCCCTAAAAAACCAAAACAAAGTCATAGAAACTGCTACCTCTAATTGTGATCCTTGATGAGATATTTGACTCTAAAGTTTTTGTGCTGGGTTACTTGTCAAACATGTGATCGGCTTAACAGAACACACAGCCCCATTAAACCTATTGTGCCCGGGAAGTAATTGATGCGATGGCATTTCTTGTCTTATGAGCTTTTAGCCATCTTTAGTAAAGTTGAAAGCAGTCGATTTTCAGTATTGTATTGAAAAATACTTGCAGATTTTTCTACTTTTTAAGTTTTATCTAATTTTAAGGGTCTTAAATTTCCATTAAGGTTAATTTTGGGGACTATGTCGTATCTAGATCATTGGTTCCTTGATTCCTTTGACTTTTTTATTCCTGTGGGTATGACCTACAGCTCTTCTGATAAGGTTGCAACTGCTAAGACATTTAGAGGTGCATTTGTAAAAAAAAAAAAATTGATACTTTTTTCTCTCTTTTAAAGTTTTCATTAAAAAATTTTTTAAATGTTAAGTAAAAAGGTAAAAAGTTAAAATTAATTTCGAACTTTTATTTCATTAAAATACTCTTCTAAGAATGAAGTTGAATAATTCTGAAAAAATTTAATACACCAAATTCTTTAATATTACACGTAATTATTAAATTTTAATTCTAAGTACATTATAAATATATTTTTGTATATTTTTTATTCTATATAGTGATATATTAGAAATATGGAGAATAGAATTTTCTCCCCATAGCAAACACTCATTTACATAAATGTTTGAGGAGAAACAAATAATTTATTTTAAAGATTGCATTTTCATAAGATCATATATGATTATATGATTACTAAAAGAGTATTAAATATTAACTAAATTTTAATGTAATAAATCTTACTTTCTGTACTGTGAACTTGATCTGAATTTAGCAATATCAAAACTTGGTGCATGGGGCATGTGGACAATAAAGGCATTTGGAAGCACAATAAATTCATATCTGAAAAAGAATAAAAATTTTTTAATTTCTATGTTATTTTTCTCCTTAAAAAAATCTGAAACTGTTTACTATTCTGATTCTACATCTTCAATAAATCTTGTAATGAATTTTATTGAGTCACCATTTTTATTTAAATATTTTTAGACTACATTTAAATAGTGAATAATAGTAAATTAAATTCAAGATAAAAATCTTTAAAAAATCAAAAGTCTGTAAATTCCTTTCTACTGAATGCCCAATAAAACCAAGGAAACATTAAATAAGTAAAAATCACATTTTACAAGCAATTATGTATAAACTGAAATCCTCTAAATTTAACTTAATTGTCAATTCTGCTTACTTCATGTTTAAGAGGAATATTTTACAGACTATGAGAACTCTTGTTGGATCATCAATATTTGGTAATTTTACAGATTTATGTCTAGAAATATATGGAATTTCTCATCTTTGAACAATTGAAAAAATGCATCTTGGCATTGTTCCATTAGACAGATAACTTGCTCATTATATGGAATCAGAATGGAAGATTTAGATTTATAGATATGATTAATTTGAACCAGTGGGAATAATTTTAGAGGTGGATCAAGTAAACAAAAGATCTGTGCATTATTTGGATATAGATAATTTTGATTAAAGAAAGAAACCTTCAAATCAAAATAAGTTTATATAGGAAGCCCATGACAATGTCTTTGTACATCTAAGCAATGTCATAAGATTTCTTCTTATACAAGACATTTAGAAATTGAATCTGGAGGAGGATATTTTCATAGATACAAGAAGTTTCAGAGAATTAGATGTTAATTATTAAACAGACACAGAGCAAGACTGATTGAGAATATCTTTGAAGCTACACTGAAACATCTTAGAAGAACCAGACATTCCAAAAAGAAATGAAGGATTCCCAAAAAATCTTTGTCTCTGGATTGTTTGGAACTAAAATAGTCTGTAGCCATATGGAGGGTTTAAATCAACAAATAGTGATGCCATGATGGTCTACAATATTTTATAGGCTAAGGAATGAGAAACAATGTACTGTACATGGAGGCTGTAAAAGCATTAGTAATGTATAAGATTCTTCTCAATGAAGAAGACAAATAAAAAACAAGAAAATGCTTTAAACTACATAGGCAGCATATATTGCCTAGTGTCAATCAGACTACAAAAAGATAGAAATGAATATATAGGTAACCCTGTATAACACGGGAGTTATGTTCCAAAAAAATTGCTGTGTTATATGAAACAAAGAACTACTACGAAAAGGGGAGGTTAGGTTCCAAAAATTAAAAAACATGCTATTATATTTTCATAATTAAGATAAATATCTTTATTAAAATTTTCTTAAGAAGTGATACATATTAATATAAATGAAACAATGTTTTCTTTGTCATCACTAAGAACTATTAACTGAGGGTGTTTTCTTTTTGGCAAGATATCCTTATCCTCTGAGCATTTTTCTGCATTATCTTCAAATCTATGCTCTATCTTTTGCAAAAAATATGTTATTTTAAATTGCTTGCTTTTAGTTAAAAGATCTTTATAAATTTCCTTATATGGTGCTAAGCGCTTATGAAGAATAAAGCAAGTATGGAATAAGGCAAAAAAATCTGGCAAAAGAAAAAGCGATGAGATCTGGCAACACTGAAACAAGTTTTGAGAAGGACCACATGTATTGACAGAAAGCGGGAAAAGAAAATTTACATACTTAAGTACTAATAGTTCACAAAAATTATGCAGGAAAATCTGATAGTGCATACACACTCTAATGAAAAATGTCAAATGAGGTAACTTTTGCACTTAAAAGCTTTATCATGTTTATTGAACTGTTGTATGGGGATTTCCCCAATTTCAAATTACATAAAGTTTGCTTTTAATAGTTTTTATTACTGTACATTTCATGTTGTACGAGGGTTTTACCCAATTCTCGAACCGTGTTAGAGTGAATCCATGCTATAGAAGTGCAGTGTTATACGGGGGTTACCTGTGCATAACAATAGAAAGATAACAATTTTATCAAAGTTTCATCTAAAGATATGTAAATTTTTTAGGATCAAACAAAAATAACATATCCAAATATCCATAATGGCATTTATTTCAGATTTACCCATAATGACATTTATTTCAGAGTTATTAATTTCAATACTACAAGAGTTCTAACTGAATTAAAAAAAAAAAATTTTAGATCTTCAAATATTAGCATTAAGAAATCTGTTGATGACGTGCTTGTGTTTGCAAATGCAAGCATGTCATGAACAGATGATGTAAGGTATTGATTCAATTTCATTTTGTATATTTGTATTTAATTATATTCAGGTTTAAATTTCTTTACTTCATGTTAAATTAATATTATATATTGACATGTAATATTAATGATTGAAAAATTTTAAATTTTTCAAGCAGCTTGTTAATGTCATTTTGTTTGTTTTATGATTTGATTTTAATTTTGATAAATTTAAAGCTGAAATTAAGAATTTCAAAAATATTTTTCTGAAATAAATCATATCCTGACTCTTAAAATAGAGTCAAGTATTTTATTTAGACAGTTTTAAAAATGAGTCATATGAGTCAGTTGAAAATGTTAAAATCAAATTAATAATAAATAAAGTTATTAAAATTAAATATTATTGACACAACAAAGTTTACCCCTGAGCATAGAGTTCCATAACATGTGATACTTTATTCCAACCGAATCCAACAAATCTCCTATCATACTCAGGAATGTCACGTCGTACGACAATGTAGGGTTCAAAATCTGGCTCCCACTGAACACGATACGGAGTCGTCGCAGTACGCCATTTTCCGTAATTTGTAGGTGCATGACCTCGAGTCCAAACATGATATCTATTAAAAATATCTTCTCTGTTTTAAAATGTCCTACTGTTATTTTAAAAATTATATTAGAAAAATATAATATACAAACCTAAATGTAAAAAGTGTACCCATGTCCAGCATGGATAATAGTTCGGCTTTTGATTTGGGAAAGGTAAGTCTATACCGTTGAGTTTCAAATGCTGGAACTATTAACGCCTGTTATAAAATATGTTAAATTAGAAAATAATACTTAATAATCATCTGATAGTTTGATTATATTTATTATAATAATTGTATTTTCGTTTTTTTGGAAGTATTGTTTCTTTTTATTAAAGGAAAGTTGTTTAATTTTTTTAATTCATGCAGAATTTTATCTTCCAGAGAATAGATGCATTTGTATGTAATTTCAAATATATATTTATGTTAGCTATTTAATGGTTAGGCAGCAATTTTCAGATTGCAGACTTACATATTCCCACCATTATCTGCCCTTCATTAATCTTGAGAACAGAGTTAGATAGATCAAAATTTATTGATAATGACTTTTTTCAGTAATTTTTAACTATTCTAAATACTTTTGAATTACTATACTTTTTAACAATCTACAATTTTTTTTTTAAATTAAAATTTATAGGTATAGGAATTTTACCTTTTTTGATGATTCTAAACCCATAGCAGCCACCGACTTCTTTAGGTACTCATAGAGTCCATACATTGGTAAAAAATCAATGTCTGTGAGGAACACGAATGGTGTTGTCACTTGTTGTAAAGCAACATTTCTTAATAAGTTTACTGGATAAAAAGGCTGCAGGAAAGAATAATCGAATATGTCATTTGCAATATGAATGAAAATCAATTGATGAATATAAAACACATTTTCAAAAATAACCTAAATGTCACTAACTTTTTATAATAAAAACAATAAATCCATAAACCCAATTTTTAATAAACAAACATTTTTATACATTTATCATTTTATTATAATAACAAATATTTTTATAATAAAATTATGTTTTAGCAACCAAAATTTGTTTGATAAATAAAACAAATTACACTAGTTCTGAATGCAGCACAAACACAAGTAATTCTGAACTGTTATTTCTAATGCAATTGTTGTTAAAGTAGTTAATAATAATAACAATTATTATTATTTTTAAATGTTTTAAAACAATTCTGTCAATTACACAAAATAATGAAATAATAATTCAAAAGTTAAACTGAAATAATTAGATTTTTGTGTAAATAAAAAAAAAAAAAAATAATAATGTAGTTTAAGTTTAACTATAAGTTTTGTTTATATAATAAAATATACAAAATTATAAGTTATTCAAATACATATTATATATATATACTTCTGTCTACTGTATTGTCTATAATATTTCATATTTAAAATTCAATATAACAGACATTAAAATGAAAACATATAAACAGTTTGGTTATTTCAGCCTATCATTATCACATTTATCGCAATATTCAGATGGTACAAAATGGCATAATTTCATTGGTCACGTAGACACCAATTGAAAATATCTCTTAAATTTTTTAATATGTCATATTTTTTTTTTCTAATGTTAACTCTAAGAAACTGTACCATTCACAGTTGAATATCAAATGGTAATATGCCAACCAACCAAATTTCACATAAAACAGACTAAATATTTAAGTTCAGCACCCTCAAAAACTACTTTAAACATATTTTGTGCTTGCCAGTAATCTTATATTATGTAATTTTCCTATTCGAATGCCATCATAATGCTGATCCAATAGGAAGGAGGGACTATCATGTAAGGGGGTTGAATGTAAGTTTTGTTGCCCTCCTCCTGGAAAAGAGGATGGTCAACGACTATTATTTAATACTGGTCTACCATTAATATTTGAAAAGTTGTCTGTGTTGGATAGGTTATGATGGTCCTGCATGTGATTGAAATTGCTAACCTTAATGTCCAAAAGACTTTATATGACTTGTTAAAATAAAAAAATCTTGTAAAAATGCTAGAATAATTGCTTTTATGTAATAATAGTGTTTAAATTTTGGCAACAGATTGTATAAACTATGTGGGAAGTATGTTCTCACATACTTACCACTTCTATAAACTCAACATAAATATTGAGTTTATAGAAAAATTATTGGGCTGCAATTTGAAAAAAATTATAGACATATAAATTTCAATTGTCATCTGCCTGTTGTCTGTCCTTCTTTAATCTCAAGAAAGGAGTTAGATGAAAGTTGAGATCAGATGTGGAAAACTTAGGGGTAGAAGCCCAAGTTAACTATATACAAACTTCAACTCAAAATTTGCCCCTAAATGGGGTTAGATAGATGACTGGCACAACTCTCTTGCTAACAGAAAAAGTATGATGTAGAGGATCAAGACCACCAGTAAAAGAATCGAGAACATTGTGACAATGTCACAATCAGGGCTGTGGAGTCGGAGTCATCAAAAAATCCGCCGACTCCGACTCCCTTTTTTACTTCTCAACTTATTATATAAAACTGAAAAAGTATTGGAATCATGTCAAATTTGACCCTCTGAGTTTATTGCAAATCTACACATTTGGAGACCTCCTGAACCCAAAAAAATGTCAAATAAAGAAGGAAAATTTGTGTGTGTGTGTGTTAGTGTCTAATTTCTTTATTCTCTGTTATGAGATATTAAACAATATCTCAGAATGGGTAAAGTTTTAGAAACTAAATTTGTCACAGTAGTTTGTGTATAAAGGGGCATTGATGCTATTAAATTTTGATTTTTAATTAAAGGTAGACAGGATGGAGACGTAGAAGGAGTAGTGTCATATCTCCAGTGTGGTTGAACTTAATGACTATTTTACTTCTTAATAACGTTCATAATTTTTTTTTATAAAATTCATCTCTACCTTCAAAATTAAGCTTTTTGTCATTTTATAATAGTACATTAAAACACATTAAGATATTATTGCCTGAGATGTTAGAATATGTATGAGGGCACGATTTAGTTCAACCACTTTGAAGCTTAATAACTCCCATTCAACTTGAATTTAAAAACCACAGAAGTTATTAGGCTTCAAACTGGATAAACAAAATTGTGCCCCAGACACAGTCTAACATTCACATATGAGGGTGTTCAAAAAGTATCAGATCTTTGGTCGGCAAAAATACATTTATTGATTTTGAGGTACAAAACCCTAATCCCCTTCAAAGTAGTCTCCTTGGTAATATATACACTTCTCCCAGTGCTCTTGCCATTGCTGGAAACACTGCTGGAATGCATCTTTTGGAATGGCCATCAGCCGGTCCATTGCATTCTGCATGATGTCTTCTCTTGACTAAAATCAGGTTCCTTTTAGCGGCATTTTCAGCTTGGGAAGTAGCCAAAAGTCACACAGAGCCATATCAGGAGAGTATGGAATGTGACAAACCACAGGAATGTTGTTTGGCAACGAAAGTCTGAATCAGATGCACAGAATGGGCGGGTGCGTTATCATGATGGAGCTGCAAAGTTTTGGTTGACCACAGATCCAATTGTTTCCATCGCATAGCATCACAAAGACGACAAAGGGCCTTTTGGTAGTACTCCTTTGTGATGGTTTGGCCTTGTGGTGCGTACTCAGGATACCCACCGCATGGGAGTCGAAAAAACTGTCAACGTGACCTTGACATTGCTGTGGATCTGCCATGCTTTTTTTTGGCCTCAAGGATCGTCCCCGAAAGCCTGCTGAATCTTGCGAATGGTTTCCACTTGGGTATTGCCAAGCTTTTGGCAAAATTTGATGCAATATCACTGCTCACATTGTTCAGTCATTTTCCAACTTAGTGGAATCCGATGAAAGCTCGCTACACATCCTCACTCATAGGCCGACTGCCAGCGAATGACATTTCCTGCAGGCGGAAAAAAATTCAGGACTGTGCATGACTGTCCCCTCCACAACTCCACCGAAAGAGACCTCCCATGCATCATTGGTTTATGTGGGAAAAATAAAGGTCTGATACTTTTTGAACACCCCTCATATACAGAAAAAGTACTGAATCTTTTGCATATCTTGATATTTCAAGGTGTCCTGAGTCCAAAAATGTAAAAATTTAGAAGTCATTTTTTGACCAATTGCTACACTTTCCCTCTGTTATAAATATTTAAAATAAAAGCCGGAAAAGTAAAAAATTGAATAAACATTTATATATTGACCATGTCATTACTTAGAGGAATCTTTTTGCTTTGGAATAAAAAAAATTTCTATGTTCTATCTTAATAAGAACTCTATTTATTGAATCTTTCATTCTAATGTCACGTGATGACATCAGAATTTCTGAGTTTATTTTGGTAACACTCTGCCCTCGTCAGAGTCAGAGTCGAATGGTAAGGCAAAGTTGGAGTCAAAGTTGGTAGATTTTACATGACTCCACAGCCCTGGTCACAATATATAATCACTCATTAGAATTATTAGAATCACTCATTAGAATGGTTTATTTGGTTATGGTAATGCAACATGTGAGCAATCTGCCAAGGTAAATGCATCCAAGGAAGACTTTTATGGGAAGCTGTGCTGTATTTTGGTGTTACTAACATAAATAAAACCCAGAAAACTGCATGTGATCAGAAAACCCACTGGCCATGTCCAAACTCACAACTAACTAACTACCAGAGTTCGGTGGTTTTATCTACTCGGCTATAGGAGGGCACATATTGGAATTAAGAAAGTACCATTCAGAAATGAAAAAACCTGGGATGGTAGATGTGGAAAATTAAATACTTATAGACTTTTCAAAGCGAAAGTGTTATGCTGTAAAACAGGCAATGTCTCAGTAATGATGTAGAGCTTGTATTTCATGCTATATCATTGTCGCAGTAATTAAGTCAATATAATATATATTTCTTAAAATTATATCTCTTTTCATAAGAATTATATTTAGTTTATTATTTTGTTAAATTTTTTGCCAATAGATGGTGCTATGTGTAAATCAACAAATGGAATGTAGATAGAAATTAACTGATTTATAGAAATCCAATTGATATTTTGGGGTGGAATGTATGATATTATCTAAGTTATAAGTATAAGTATCTAAGTTGCTGAGTTTCGTAGCAATTGATCAAATAGCCTAGGCCATTCGACCAATTGTTATGAATTGCATACAAATAAAGAAACATCCTCATTTATATATATAGATAATTATAAATATTAAGTAATAAGTATAATTAAAACTTACACCATCTCTATACACAATATGATATCCCACATTTTTTCTTTTTCTTAATACTTCTGATGTAAGAGTATAACTAAGGAATTGTTGAACTTCAGAATCAGACATATAAAGTGCTAAACTTACTGGACCTAAAAGAGAACAAAAAATATACAAAAATTCATCATCATCTAATTTGTATTTTCAAATGTAAAAATTATTTATATTAAAAAAAATAAACAAAAATTAAAATATTTTAATATACTAAAACTGATTTTAGAAGGTAACAGATTAAAATTAATCACAAATGCAATCTTAAATAATTTTTTAATAAAATGACTTTCATAAAAATAACATATAAAACATTTCTATGTTAAATTTACAAACTCATTACACTTTTTATAAATATTAATTCCCAATTTCATATCTTATCTATATGATTTAAATCACTGAAAAATGTATCAATGTTTTTTATGTGGATGAGTCAAAACAAACAGATTAAAATTTTATGTCAAAAAGTATAGGCTAGAGACTTTTTGATCTATAGGGACCTTGAATAAGTTCTCGCTGTTTTTTTTGTGAAAATTAACACTTTATTTTAAAAAAGTCATAAAAAACATGTCACTGTAAGTATTGTCCATCGCTAGCCACTATTTTCTCCCATTGTTCTGGCAGCATTTGAATTCCACGTCGGAAAAACAATACGTCTTTTGAGGCTATCCGAGAGTCAACCCACTTTTTGGCATCTTCATAAGAATGGAAGTGCTGCTCAGTCAGGCCATGTGCCATCGATCAGAACAAGCAATAATCAGAAGGGGCAATGTCTGGTGAATACAGCGAGTGGGGTAGGACTTCCCATTTAAGCATTTCCAAATAGGCTTTCACCGGTTGTATAACATGTGGCTGAGCATTGTCATGTTGCAAAATCACTTTGTGGTGTCTCTGCTCGTATAGCAGCCATTTTCCCTTCAATGCTTGGCTCAAACGCATCAATTGTAGTCAACAGCAATCTCCCGTGATGGTTTTGTTTGGTTTGAGCAGCTCATAATAAACTACACCTAGCTGATCTCACCAAATACAGAGCAGAAGCTTCAAACCATGGATATTCAGCTTTGCTAATGATGTTGATGCATGGCTGCACGATTTTCTACGCTTAGGGTTATTGTAGTGTATCCATTTTTCATCGCCCCTCACTCATAGGCCGACTGCCAGCGAATGACATTTCCTGCAGGCGGGAAAAAATTCAGGACTGTGCATGACTGTCCCCTCCACAACTCCACCGAAAGAGACCTCCCATGCATCATTGGTTTATGTGGGAAAAATAAAGGTCTNAGTTTTAAAAATGAGTCATATGAGTCAGTTGAAAATGTTAAAATCAAATTAATAATAAATAAAGTTATTAAAATTAAATATTATTGACACAACAAAGTTTACCCCTGAGCATAGAGTTCCATAACATGTGATACTTTATTCCAACCGAATCCAACAAATCTCCTATCATACTCAGGAATGTCACGTCGTACGACAATGTAGGGTTCAAAATCTGGCTCCCACTGAACACGATACGGAGTCGTCGCAGTACGCCATTTTCCGTAATTTGTAGGTGCATGACCTCGAGTCCAAACATGATATCTATTAAAAATATCTTCTCTGTTTTAAAATGTCCTACTGTTATTTTAAAAATTATATTAGAAAAATATAATATACAAACCTAAATGTAAAAAGTGTACCCATGTCCAGCATGGATAATAGTTCGGCTTTTGATTTGGGAAAGGTAAGTCTATACCGTTGAGTTTCAAATGCTGGAACTATTAACGCCTGTTATAAAATATGTTAAATTAGAAAATAATACTTAATAATCATCTGATAGTTTGATTATATTTATTATAATAATTGTATTTTCGTTTTTTTGGAAGTATTGTTTCTTTTTATTAAAGGAAAGTTGTTTAATTTTTTTAATTCATGCAGAATTTTATCTTCCAGAGAATAGATGCATTTGTATGTAATTTCAAATATATATTTATGTTAGCTATTTAATGGTTAGGCAGCAATTTTCAGATTGCAGACTTACATATTCCCACCATTATCTGCCCTTCATTAATCTTGAGAACAGAGTTAGATAGATCAAAATTTATTGATAATGACTTTTTTCAGTAATTTTTAACTATTCTAAATACTTTTGAATTACTATACTTTTTAACAATCTACAATTTTTTTTTTAAATTAAAATTTATAGGTATAGGAATTTTACCTTTTTTGATGATTCTAAACCCATAGCAGCCACCGACTTCTTTAGGTACTCATAGAGTCCATACATTGGTAAAAAATCAATGTCTGTGAGGAACACGAATGGTGTTGTCACTTGTTGTAAAGCAACATTTCTTAATAAGTTTACTGGATAAAAAGGCTGCAGGAAAGAATAATCGAATATGTCATTTGCAATATGAATGAAAATCAATTGATGAATATAAAACACATTTTCAAAAATAACCTAAATGTCACTAACTTTTTATAATAAAAACAATAAATCCATAAACCCAATTTTTAATAAACAAACATTTTTATACATTTATCATTTTATTATAATAACAAATATTTTTATAATAAAATTATGTTTTAGCAACCAAAATTTGTTTGATAAATAAAACAAATTACACTAGTTCTGAATGCAGCACAAACACAAGTAATTCTGAACTGTTATTTCTAATGCAATTGTTGTTAAAGTAGTTAATAATAATAACAATTATTATTATTTTTAAATGTTTTAAAACAATTCTGTCAATTACACAAAATAATGAAATAATAATTCAAAAGTTAAACTGAAATAATTAGATTTTTGTGTAAATAAAAAAAAAAAAAAATAATAATGTAGTTTAAGTTTAACTATAAGTTTTGTTTATATAATAAAATATACAAAATTATAAGTTATTCAAATACATATTATATATATATACTTCTGTCTACTGTATTGTCTATAATATTTCATATTTAAAATTCAATATAACAGACATTAAAATGAAAACATATAAACAGTTTGGTTATTTCAGCCTATCATTATCACATTTATCGCAATATTCAGATGGTACAAAATGGCATAATTTCATTGGTCACGTAGACACCAATTGAAAATATCTCTTAAATTTTTTAATATGTCATATTTTTTTTTTCTAATGTTAACTCTAAGAAACTGTACCATTCACAGTTGAATATCAAATGGTAATATGCCAACCAACCAAATTTCACATAAAACAGACTAAATATTTAAGTTCAGCACCCTCAAAAACTACTTTAAACATATTTTGTGCTTGCCAGTAATCTTATATTATGTAATTTTCCTATTCGAATGCCATCATAATGCTGATCCAATAGGAAGGAGGGACTATCATGTAAGGGGGTTGAATGTAAGTTTTGTTGCCCTCCTCCTGGAAAAGAGGATGGTCAACGACTATTATTTAATACTGGTCTACCATTAATATTTGAAAAGTTGTCTGTGTTGGATAGGTTATGATGGTCCTGCATGTGATTGAAATTGCTAACCTTAATGTCCAAAAGACTTTATATGACTTGTTAAAATAAAAAAATCTTGTAAAAATGCTAGAATAATTGCTTTTATGTAATAATAGTGTTTAAATTTTGGCAACAGATTGTATAAACTATGTGGGAAGTATGTTCTCACATACTTACCACTTCTATAAACTCAACATAAATATTGAGTTTATAGAAAAATTATTGGGCTGCAATTTGAAAAAAATTATAGACATATAAATTTCAATTGTCATCTGCCTGTTGTCTGTCCTTCTTTAATCTCAAGAAAGGAGTTAGATGAAAGTTGAGATCAGATGTGGAAAACTTAGGGGTAGAAGCCCAAGTTAACTATATACAAACTTCAACTCAAAATTTGCCCCTAAATGGGGTTAGATAGATGACTGGCACAACTCTCTTGCTAACAGAAAAAGTATGATGTAGAGGATCAAGACCACCAGTAAAAGAATCGAGAACATTGTGACAATGTCACAATCAGGGCTGTGGAGTCGGAGTCATCAAAAAATCCGCCGACTCCGACTCCCTTTTTTACTTCTCAACTTATTATATAAAACTGAAAAAGTATTGGAATCATGTCAAATTTGACCCTCTGAGTTTATTGCAAATCTACACATTTGGAGACCTCCTGAACCCAAAAAAATGTCAAATAAAGAAGGAAAATTTGTGTGTGTGTGTGTTAGTGTCTAATTTCTTTATTCTCTGTTATGAGATATTAAACAATATCTCAGAATGGGTAAAGTTTTAGAAACTAAATTTGTCACAGTAGTTTGTGTATAAAGGGGCATTGATGCTATTAAATTTTGATTTTTAATTAAAGGTAGACAGGATGGAGACGTAGAAGGAGTAGTGTCATATCTCCAGTGTGGTTGAACTTAATGACTATTTTACTTCTTAATAACGTTCATAATTTTTTTTTATAAAATTCATCTCTACCTTCAAAATTAAGCTTTTTGTCATTTTATAATAGTACATTAAAACACATTAAGATATTATTTCCTGAGATGTTAGAATATGTATGAGGGCACGATTTAGTTCAACCACTTTGAAGCTTAATAACTCCCATTCAACTTGAATTTAAAAACCACAGAAGTTATTAGGCTTCAAACTGGATAAACAAAATTGTGCCCCAGACACAGTCTAACATTCACATATGAGGGTGTTCAAAAAGTATCAGATCTTTGGTCGGCAAAAATACATTTATTGATTTTGAGGTACAAAACCCTAATCCCCTTCAAAGTAGTCTCCTTGGTAATATATACACTTCTCCCAGTGCTCTTGCCATTGCTGGAAACACTGCTGGAATGCATCTTTTGGAATGGCCATCAGCCGGTCCATTGCATTCTGCATGATGTCTTCTCTTGACTAAAATCAGGTTCCTTTTAGCGGCATTTTCAGCTTGGGAAGTAGCCAAAAGTCACACAGAGCCATATCAGGAGAGTATGGAATGTGACAAACCACAGGAATGTTGTTTGGCAACGAAAGTCTGAATCAGATGCACAGAATGGGCGGGTGCGTTATCATGATGGAGCTGCAAAGTTTTGGTTGACCACAGATCCAATTGTTTCCATCGCATAGCATCACAAAGACGACAAAGGGCCTTTTGGTAGTACTCCTTTGTGATGGTTTGGCCTTGTGGTGCGTACTCAGGATACCCACCGCATGGGAGTCGAAAAAACTGTCAACGTGACCTTGACATTGCTGTGGATCTGCCATGCTTTTTTTTGGCCTCAAGGATCGTCCCCGAAAGCCTGCTGAATCTTGCGAATGGTTTCCACTTGGGTATTGCCAAGCTTTTGGCAAAATTTGATGCAATATCACTGCTCACATTGTTCAGTCATTTTCCAACTTAGTGGAATCCGATGAAAGCTCGCTACACATCCTCACTCATAGGCCGACTGCCAGCGAATGACATTTCCTGCAGGCGGAAAAAAATTCAGGACTGTGCATGACTGTCCCCTCCACAACTCCACCGAAAGAGACCTCCCATGCATCATTGGTTTATGTGGGAAAAATAAAGGTCTGATACTTTTTGAACACCCCTCATATACAGAAAAAGTACTGAATCTTTTGCATATCTTGATATTTCAAGGTGTCCTGAGTCCAAAAATGTAAAAATTTAGAAGTCATTTTTTGACCAATTGCTACACTTTCCCTCTGTTATAAATATTTAAAATAAAAGCCGGAAAAGTAAAAAATTGAATAAACATTTATATATTGACCATGTCATTACTTAGAGGAATCTTTTTGCTTTGGAATAAAAAAAATTTCTATGTTCTATCTTAATAAGAACTCTATTTATTGAATCTTTCATTCTAATGTCACGTGATGACATCAGAATTTCTGAGTTTATTTTGGTAACACTCTGCCCTCGTCAGAGTCAGAGTCGAATGGTAAGGCAAAGTTGGAGTCAAAGTTGGTAGATTTTACATGACTCCACAGCCCTGGTCACAATATATAATCACTCATTAGAATTATTAGAATCACTCATTAGAATGGTTTATTTGGTTATGGTAATGCAACATGTGAGCAATCTGCCAAGGTAAATGCATCCAAGGAAGACTTTTATGGGAAGCTGTGCTGTATTTTGGTGTTACTAACATAAATAAAACCCAGAAAACTGCATGTGATCAGAAAACCCACTGGCCATGTCCAAACTCACAACTAACTAACTACCAGAGTTCGGTGGTTTTATCTACTCGGCTATAGGAGGGCACATATTGGAATTAAGAAAGTACCATTCAGAAATGAAAAAACCTGGGATGGTAGATGTGGAAAATTAAATACTTATAGACTTTTCAAAGCGAAAGTGTTATGCTGTAAAACAGGCAATGTCTCAGTAATGATGTAGAGCTTGTATTTCATGCTATATCATTGTCGCAGTAATTAAGTCAATATAATATATATTTCTTAAAATTATATCTCTTTTCATAAGAATTATATTTAGTTTATTATTTTGTTAAATTTTTTGCCAATAGATGGTGCTATGTGTAAATCAACAAATGGAATGTAGATAGAAATTAACTGATTTATAGAAATCCAATTGATATTTTGGGGTGGAATGTATGATATTATCTAAGTTATAAGTATAAGTATCTAAGTTGCTGAGTTTCGTAGCAATTGATCAAATAGCCTAGGCCATTCGACCAATTGTTATGAATTGCATACAAATAAAGAAACATCCTCATTTATATATATAGATAATTATAAATATTAAGTAATAAGTATAATTAAAACTTACACCATCTCTATACACAATATGATATCCCACATTTTTTCTTTTTCTTAATACTTCTGATGTAAGAGTATAACTAAGGAATTGTTGAACTTCAGAATCAGACATATAAAGTGCTAAACTTACTGGACCTAAAAGAGAACAAAAAATATACAAAAATTCATCATCATCTAATTTGTATTTTCAAATGTAAAAATTATTTATATTAAAAAAAATAAACAAAAATTAAAATATTTTAATATACTAAAACTGATTTTAGAAGGTAACAGATTAAAATTAATCACAAATGCAATCTTAAATAATTTTTTAATAAAATGACTTTCATAAAAATAACATATAAAACATTTCTATGTTAAATTTACAAACTCATTACACTTTTTATAAATATTAATTCCCAATTTCATATCTTATCTATATGATTTAAATCACTGAAAAATGTATCAATGTTTTTTATGTGGATGAGTCAAAACAAACAGATTAAAATTTTATGTCAAAAAGTATAGGCTAGAGACTTTTTGATCTATAGGGACCTTGAATAAGTTCTCGCTGTTTTTTTTGTGAAAATTAACACTTTATTTTAAAAAAGTCATAAAAAACATGTCACTGTAAGTATTGTCCATCGCTAGCCACTATTTTCTCCCATTGTTCTGGCAGCATTTGAATTCCACGTCGGAAAAACAATACGTCTTTTGAGGCTATCCGAGAGTCAACCCACTTTTTGGCATCTTCATAAGAATGGAAGTGCTGCTCAGTCAGGCCATGTGCCATCGATCAGAACAAGCAATAATCAGAAGGGGCAATGTCTGGTGAATACAGCGAGTGGGGTAGGACTTCCCATTTAAGCATTTCCAAATAGGCTTTCACCGGTTGTATAACATGTGGCTGAGCATTGTCATGTTGCAAAATCACTTTGTTGTGTCTCTGCTCGTATAGCAGCCATTTTCCCTTCAATGCTTGGCTCAAACGCATCAATTGTAGTCAACAGCAATCTCCCGTGATGGTTTTGTTTGGTTTGAGCAGCTCATAATAAACTACACCTAGCTGATCTCACCAAATACAGAGCAGAAGCTTCAAACCATGGATATTCAGCTTTGCTAATGATGTTGATGCATGGCTGCACGATTTTCTACGCTTAGGGTTATTGTAGTGTATCCATTTTTCATCGCCTGTCATGATACGATGCAGAAAACCTTTCCTTTTCTGCCGTTGAAGCAGCTGTTCACACGTGAAAAGACACCATTCGACATCTCTTGGCTTCAACTTGTATGGCACCCAATGTCCTTGCTTTTGAATCATTCCCAATCCTTTCAAACTTTTCGAAACTGTTGTGTGATCAATTCCTAATGATTCTGCAAGTTCAACTAGCGTTTGACACGAGTCTTCATGAAGTAATGCCTCCAATTCTTCGTCTTCAAACTTTTTTGGTGCACCAGATCGTTCTTCATCTTCAACAACAAAATCATTATTTTTCAAACATCTAAACCAATCTCTGCATGTTGTTTCTGACAGAGCATGGTCACCATAAGTCTCAACAAGAACTGTGTGCGCCTCAGCTGCAGATTTTTTTTGAATAAAATAGTGGAATAAAATTCCCTGCAAATACTTTTTTCTTGGCACAAAACTCGACATGTTTAACACTATGAAAAAATAAGTTGTTTACACTTCGGCGAAATGACATACTAAATTTCAAGGTTGCTTATTGTACTTCCTTACAGATGTGTCACCATCTACAAAATACACACACGCAGTTCTGGTAATGCCATCTGTTGGAAAACATCAAGAACTTTTTCAAGGTCCTTATATATTTTATATCACTTTAAATAACAGTTAATATTACATCTGTCCAAAAAATTGCATGGAACTATGATGCTTTACTTGGTCAAAAGAAATTGCAGAACAAATTTCCTTCTTTGTCATGGGCTAGTGTGCCAACATGTATCATTGCATACAATATAATCAGAAGCTGCATCATGACAATGCATGCCTTTACTGTAGATTACTAATATAATGAATGGTTTTTTTGGGCCAAGAAGAACATCTCATTCATCCCATATTCGCCATGCAGGGTAGATTTGGCACCCTGCAACTTTTTCCTATTCCCAGCCCAGTGAAAAATACAGGAAACCCATTTCTCACTCACACAAGTAGTAATTAAAGCATAAAACTTGAATTGCTTCAGAATCAAACATCTACAACATATCTTCAAGAAGTAGCAGAAGTGTATTGAATTCCAAGAAAATACTCTAAAGGAAACAACAGTAGTTACATCCCAGAATGATAATGTGAAGAAAAAACCTGTTTCAAGTTAATTTGACTGGTATGTATTTTATTAAACAAGATGTGTTTAGATGAGAATTATATAGAATACTATAAAAAAATATTATTTGATGCATTGAATTATGTACAAAGGCAATTAAAAATTCAAATCATAAAACTGTTAATTTCTTTTCATATATTATTAGAATTATTAGGATTTATAAAAACAACAAACCTTCCCAATGTTTGCACAATGCTTCAACCATTTGTAAACGATCCATTGAAAGCTGTGCTATCAATGTCACATCATTTCCTTCAGCAGCCTAAATAATTATACAGTTATTTATTTTAAAATCCTAATAAGCTTACTGGTTCATAATCATATTCTATGTAGTACAGATGAGTACGATGTTGAACAACCCTTGCACGTCTGAATTCATAACATGCATCATCTTCATCGATGGAATTTAACTGGTAAAAATTGCAATTTGTTAATATTATCTACAATAAAATAAATTCCACTTGATAAGTGATAAAATCTTCTAATTCTCATAATTTAAGATAACTAGAAATACTTATTCTTTCACAAATTACATATTTGATTTATATTTAATGAAACAATTGTTTTATAATATTTCTCCAAACAGAATGTTATAAATAAATATATATAAATAAGTATTATAATATAAATACTGTATTACTTTGAATGTAAGCCACAGTAAGAGTTTAAAATTGCAAAAATTGGAATAATAATAAAAAATAAAAAAGATTTTATATATATAATTTGTGTAATTGTAGCCATGTCAATTGCTGAGTATCTTCCTTTTTTATGCCCAAAGAATGATTTTCTGTCTTTTTTTACACAACTTTTCCTTCATGGCTCTCCAACAATGCACATTCTTTTCATTAAATTAACTATAAATCTTTTAAGTTGCATGATTTCCAATTTATTTGACGTGCACTATAACTTTTCTTTTGAATTCAGCATCATATGTAAACCATTTTTCCATTATTAGTATGGGTAATAAAAAAAATTTAAAATTCGATTCTACGCAGCTGCTATCAGACAGCAACTGGATTAAATCAGAAAAGTGGAAATGGGAAATCATTGAATAAACTGCTATCAACGATCATAATACTATGTGCATGCATAGAGCATAAAGCGAAGACCTAACTGTTGGGCATGGAAGATTGGCAGAAATAAAGAGTTAAAATATTCGTTTTGAATTTAAACATTAATAGCTTTACAAGGCACATGTGACTTGTACGGACATGTCTAGTTAGGATGACAGACATAATTGCTTGTTTTCCCCTGGGGCGGCGCATATATTTTGATAACTAATAATCCTACAGGCATAATACTTGATATATCGATATTATTTTATTAGGTGTGATAAAATATATCAATTTAATAGTATGAGGCATGGGTGACTCGTGCAGCCTTAGTTTAGTTAAAGGTTACTTTTGGATGGTACGAGTCATGTAAGTCTTGTGCCCACAATCTGAGATTTTAGTGCAAACACATTATTTTTATTGTTCCTGCATTCTTGAAAGTTCTTTGTTCACATAAGTCTTAGTGAATTATAATTCAATATAATTACAGTCACTTCTCGATTTATGACGGGGTTTGGTTCCGCAACTTCAGACATAAGTTGAATTTCATACAAAAATAAATAATATAATTATAATAGACAATGTAAAATAAAGTAGAATTTCCAATTTACACTACAAGTAAAAAAACTAAAACAAAAATTTGTTTTACCTTCCATATTAGAGATTGTAACCATTGGTCCCTAGAATATGCATTGCTAACCTGAAAAATAAATAATATAATTATAATAGACAATGTAAAATAAAGTAGAATTTCCAATTTACACTGCAAGCAAACTACTTATAACAAAACGATTAGCCACCTTACACAAGCACACATGAAGGGTAACTACCTGCACAATAAAACTAAAGATGATGCAATCAATTGCAGAAGCACACAATCAATCATCAGAAGTATGCAAGATATATATGTATATGTTATATATTTTACGAAAACTATAAAAAAATTTATACATTTTTAAAATTTTTTAATGAAATTTTTTGTCATAAGTGTGAATGGTCATAAGTCAAGAAGTTACTGTAATATTAAAACATGAAAATTAGTATACAGCCTTTAAATTTTTTTAGTTTTTTTATTTTTGAATTCTATTTATGATATCTTTTGTAATTGCATGCTAAAAGTTCTTACTTTACAAAATTAAAGCATCAATTTTGATTTCCCATGGGAGCTCTATGAATCACATTTGCCTCAGGCTATGGCAGAGGAATGGAGATTATAGTGTCTTATATTAAATACTAGTAGCCTGGGATGCCCCCTAGTGGGCGTTCTTTACAAATTTCCACAAGGCACGGTTCCTTTGACTTTTTTGTTTCTATCAATATGTTCTACAGCTCCGGCCTGTAAACTTCGATTTTAAATGTATCTGCGATTTTTTCAACAAATTTCCCGTGAGTCAATGCGCAACGTTCACCGAGTCACTGAGGGATGTCGTAAATGTGCAGCGCAAGGTTAATCGAGGCATATAATAAGGCAAGGCAAAGCATATAATAATTATTTATACCGTTCCATGGTATAAATAATAAATTCCTATTACAAATAAAAATAATTTATTGTTAATTTAAAATCTTTGCTAGGGCACCTCTAGTGTCCGTTATCATACCGTTATGCAGACAGATGNTAAGGCAAGGCAAAGCATATAATAATTATTTATACCGTTCCATGGTATAAATAATAAATTCCTATTACAAATAAAAATAATTTATTGTTAATTTAAAATCTTTGCTAGGGCACCTCTAGTGTCCGTTATCATACCGTTATGCAGACAGATGGATACCCGTTGAATGGGTTATATATATAGATATTAATGATTTTGTGTATGTCCAATGACCAGCCATATAGAATGCATTAATGAATTGAAGTCACACTAGTCACCTGTGCCTCATACAGCCCTGTATTAAAATAGATTAAGAGTCACAGGTGACTCATAATGCCCAGCAGCTGCCTAAAAGTTTATCTACTGATGCTGTTAACATGTTAAACCACACCTCAATTTTACATATTTAAAATTGGAACAAAAAGTATGGCTTTAATTCAAAGTAATAAGATATTTAAGCATATTTCTGGCACTTAGCCAGAAATAGCAACTTAATTTGCTACTCACTGATTAACTGATTTAATATTTTACAATATTCATGTTATTAATTTATTGTGAAGAAGAAAAACTGTATATTTTTTCCATTTTCTAGATTAAAGTATTTCTTCATTTCATTACTTTATTTAGTTAAAATTTACATATAGTAAAATAAAATAATTCTATAATTATAAAATTAAAAAAAGTTAACTGATGTATTTTTTACACACAAAATGAATAAAAGATAATTATAATTTTTCTTACAGCTTCTTGTACATGAGTGACTTTGGTGTTATTGCAGCCAATAAGTTCTCTTCTCAATAAATTTCCATCATACTCTAAAAAGGTGAGGTAGAGGTTACGAAAAAATTCAACGTGTTTATTCTTTACTTTTAATTTTTTAGGAGAATTCCAATGAATAACCTACAAAAAAAATAATTTTTATTGGTTGAATTTATATATAGTAAAAATTACATTTTATAATATGTAGTATAAATATCCTAAATTAGCTTTTAACAATTACTTTTTTAAGTCTTAAATTCCTAAACAAGCATTTAGCTTTCCTCATCCCCAAAGTTTAAATAACTTTGGTTAAACATTTTAATTAACAATAAATTATTAGCTAATGCAGATGAATAGTTATTTTATGTTATGAAAACTTTTAATTTTAACTGATAAACTGATTTATTTAATGCATTTTGATTTTTTATATGCAGTATTTAATCGCATTTACTAATGATTGATATGCAGTCAACTCTTAATTTAGTGGGATTTATCATGGCAATGACTACAGGAAAGCATGCACAAAGTAGTTGTATTATCCTTGATAGTGTCTAGTTGTTAAATTTAATAGTGTTGATTTTTTTGGATTAATTACTGTACTTTTTATCATTTTCATAAGTAATATAACTAACCATAATTTTTATTTAAAATGCTATTATGTAGTTTTTAAATGAGTAAAGCTTTTGTGATTAGTAATGAACTATATATTTCATATTGTATTGTACATTTTACTTTGTTTATTTCCTGTATGACATGTTAAAACACAGTAGAGTTCCTACTATTGTATACATAGTTAATTTCAAGTAATTTGAAAATTTACTGTGGAATTTGAAATCTGTAAACCCTCCATTACCCAGGCCTGGGAGTGCCATTTCCCCTCTGAAAAAGTGAGAAAAGTGAGTTGAAATACGGAAAAAGTGAATAAAAAGTGAGTGCAATAGTGACAAAACAATGTGAAAAAACGGAAGGAAAACTCAGCAAAATAGAAGTAAAAGTTGTTACTTTCTTTTTATTCTGTTATGGTTAAACACATTTTAGAAATTTGTGTATATACTGTAATTCAGTCGTTATATCGCGCATTTTTGGTCCCCCGAATTTTAAAAGTATTTGAGTCAATAACTTTTAAATTACCAATTGTCACTGAATTTCTATTTGCAACAAAATACGGTATTTTATTTCTACTATTGTCCTTGAAACTACCACTGAAGGTAAAACAATAAATTCGTCAAGATCTACATATGCAGAACAAGTGAATGGATCGATTATCATTTGTTTCCTTTTAATAAAAAAGTTGTTTATTTATTAGTTTTAAGTACTGTCTCCTCATTTACAAGTTTCTGTAAATTCGAAATTTCACATCTTTATGTGAATTAACGGTATTGCTTCAATTCACACAGAGGTGTGAAATTTCGAATTCACAGCATAATGTGTAAGGAAAAGATTTCTTAATTCTGAAAGGAAAGTTCTAAAATTTTTATACAGTAGTAACTTTATTTTACTTTTTAATTAAAGAATTTTTACTCTCTAATTTTATAAGTTTTGATGTTCTATTATACATTCAATATTTTTTTTAAATTTTCAATTACAGCATTTATAATTTTTATTGAAAAATATAAACTACACGAATTTCTAATAAGCGATTTATATAGTACTGTATAATAAAATCGCAATTGATTTGTTTTTATATCGACAGTATTTGTCTTTCAATGTCATTGTTAAAGAAACAATAATGCTAAATGGGCGTTCATGGTATCGATGTTTACGTAAACGTCAATTAATACGATATAACCACGAATAAAATTCAGGATTGAAAAACTAAGCTTATTTTATATCAGAAACACTTAATGATGAAAGAATAGAGATTCCATAACATGTATAATCTGTCTAGTAAAAGCCCAGAATTTTTATTACTCGGTTATATCGCGTTTTTTTTCTGTCTCCTGATAACAAGTGGCTACTGTATTTCCAGTAAACCGTGAATACTTAAAAACTCTTTGGCTTCTGTAAATAATCAGTCATGAAAGATGATGTTATTTTATTAAGATTATTCTGGATGTTTTCAGATTCCTTCTTTTTCGCTTCCTCTTGCTTTTGAACACTTAACACTAATAAGCATCACACGTGCTGCTCGTACTACATTCATGTTTTTGCTGTTAATAGCCTTTCTCCAGTTTTTTTTGTTTGCTGCTTCTAACAAAACTTGGCCTGTCGCATGTATTTCTTTTTCTTCTACATTTTTCTGGTTTAAACTCAGCTGCAGTTCTATAATCTTCATGTTACGAACAGTTTTCTTTTGTTGTTCTTCAAAATGTTTCTGTGCTCTTTTTTTCTGTTTCTCTTATTCTTTTAACTTCTTTTCATTTTCCAATTGTTCTTGATAATTTCTATGCGCTGAGGGAGCTAATTTCAGTAGTCCTTTGTAATGGGTACAAGATGGGGCTTTGGTCATACATGTTTAGTCCCTCCTTAACAATCAAAAGTGAATTAAGTATTTTTTCCAATACTGATGGAGAAAGTGCCCAGAGTGAAATTGACCCTCTCTCTCGTGGGAATGCTGATTTCGCTATTTTGGCTATACTGGAATATTTATCATTATCAGAAACTGTTTATTTTTTAATCCTTTGAGATGTGTAAATATTGATTTCAAAATAAAATAATAAATCTGAAATAAATATATTTCAAATAATATAAGTAAAATAATATTTTATTAATGATTTCATAAATAACAATAAACTTTTTCCTACAAATGAATAAAAATAACATCGTTACATCGTTGTTAACCTTTTGGAAAGCATGTGAAAATACTTCTCACAAGCAATCATGTGTTGTACTTTTTACAACACTTTGAATCTTTTAATTTATTTGGTAAATTTTATATGTAAATATGAATTTATATTTTTGTTTACTTTTTTAGTCTCTCAATTAATGCACAATTATAATCAGCATAAGAGAAAAGATTAAAAAATGGATATTTCACAAGTTATTTTCATAACTTGTGAAATGGATATCACACATTTTATGAAAATAACACTTACTACATGGAATAATTATACTTGTAGTCAATTTAAACATACATTTAGAAAGATATAGATGTGATTTAATGTTAACAATATGCTATAAAATCATTATTTAACTCAAGTTTATGAAATTATTTAAAGATAAATCAAGTAAAAAAATATTTTGTAAACGACAACTACATAACCCGATTGTTAATTAAAATCAAATAATCTGCCAAATTATTGGGCTATAACAAGGATAACTACATGATCAGAAATGAAATAATTTATCTACTGGTAAAAGGTTATGCTATTATCTCGTGTTAATTTTAATAATTATATATTTTGAATTTACAAGCAGTAGCAGCGTTGTCAGCTTGAGAGGGTAATCCCTATGCTTAGTGTGTTTTCCCCTGCAAAAGGATTTTAGTGATTTTCTTAGAAAACAGCCAAAACCGCAGGGATGCTTAGAATACTCATTTTTAAACTCCATACAAGGAAATGTAATTCGGAAGAAGTAGATTTTGGCAAATAATGAAAATATAGCATGAGTACATAACTTTACTCAACACTGGCTTCTGAATTTGTAATGACAGGGATTTTTTTTAATTCATAAAGGATATTTTTACATACGTGAAATAAATTTTTGTTTTCTATAATCTAACAACACTGAGTGGCAGTTGCAATTTTGAGTCCTGCTCAGGGCTGCGTATTTTCTTCCAGAAAATTCTATTCCGATAGTCCGATAATTTGGCAGATAGTTTGGCTTTAAAATTATTTTTGATTTGTCCCACATCTTAATTAAGCATGTGAAAATGACCAAAAAAGTGAGAAAAGTGAGAAAATGACCTGAAAAGTGAGAAAAGTGAAGATACTTCAGAAAAGTGAGTACAAGTGAGAAAAGTGAGTGACTCCGAGGCCTGATTACCTCACAAAATTGGGAGTTGACTGTACACACTATTTATGGAAGTAGCCTTACTTATAGTTAAGCATTTACAATAAAATATTCAATTTCTCTTGAAATGTTTTAAAAAGACATAATTAAGAAAAAATATTAAAGATGTAATCACAATGATGGTTTATGAAAGTAAGATATTCAATAAAGTTAAATATAAAGCACTGTTTGCATTTCACAATAATTTTGTGAAATGCAAACAGTACTTTANCAACGGAGAAAAATTTAAACATGGGATATATTATTATACTATTATTGGGATATACTAATATACTATATTAATAATGTATTTTTTCGTACATAATCAGTTATCCAAAAAATCGATTTTCCGAACAACCCCAGTCCCCAATTGATTCAGATAATCAATGCGCTACTGTAATTTAACTAAAATTATATTTTAGGAAAAATGTTATAAGAAATATCGTTTGTTAATTAAAAAGATTATACAGAATAGTGATATTTTACAATAGTTTTGAGAAAAATTGCTTCTAAAGATTTCTCAAAGCTTTTTTCAGTCTATTATTTAAGAAATTTCTTAATTATTCTTATTAACTTATATTAAATGTGTATAGCATAATCAAAGTATCCAATGTTCATCCATTAAAATATTCTAACAAACAAACAATAAGATACTTTGATTATATTATTTTATATTTTTATTTATGAAAACATTTATTTTATAATTTTTATAATGTATTCAATACTCGGTTCCTTTTTTATGTTATAGCTTGATGATGATCACTGAATACGACTGAAAATGTTAGCATCAAAGCCTTTTTTGATAGATATATTGTGTATCAGAGTTAAGTTATGATAAAAACTTCAACACTAAGAATGGCAGCCTTTTATGTGAAGTGAGCCAATTTTTTCAAAATTGCAATAAAAATCAAATTTCCAAAGAGCTGCAGAATATGTAAACAAAAAAATCTGTTTTAAATACAATAAAACTGTAGTCAACAACGTTTACTTTTTAAAATACAAAAGTAATAGAATAAATAGAAATGGATTAAATGATACTGAATCTTGGAACTGTTTCATTATAATAATTACATACTTCATTATTCTCCAGTATCTATCTACACTATATTCACTTTTACAGTTTTTATTGTTTCAGATGTTAATTATATCAAGAAACTTCAAAAGATTTTCTTAAAACTAGCATCAAATATTTTTGCAGTTCATGTTTTCTACTTGAAAAACCAATTCTTTTTGTTTATATCTTAATTTAACTACACATTACAAGAATACTTTGATATTTTATTTACAAAAATATTCATTTTTAGACACCCATTGAATCACCTGTCTCTCAATCTTAAATCATATTTTAAAATTTAATCCAAAAACAGATTCATGAATACTTTCTACTAGTTAAGTGACTAAAATCTTTCACAATGTATTTTGATTAAGTATATTGAATTTGTAATATAAGCTACAGATTTTGACTATATTAAATATTACTTTTCATTCCAATGTCTCAATAGATAACATTTCTTAAACAACACTTGTTACCAACTAATTAACTTGTATCTATCTGTTAAATTAACTTTGTAATGCAGGATTAAATGCAGTATAGTTTATATCCTGCATTACCCAGGTTTATACAAAAGAAATTTATAACAAATTTACTAATTTTAGGAAAATACTGTTCTAAAAGAAAAAATATCAGAGTCCTTAAGAGTCCTTAGATGTAACAACTTGACTTTAATAGGGGAAAAAGTATTTTTCATGATATAACTTGGAAATGTAAAGACATTTTCTGGCATCACAAATAATATTGTCGGTGTTAACTACTCTTTGTTTACTTATATCAATTTATAAGAACAGGGTCATTTTTATGATAGTTCACGGTTATACATGAAACCTGATATTTTTCATTGTATTCATTTTTGTGTAGTACAATTCATATTTCTTTTTTATTTTTTTTTTTTTGCACTTTAAGTGTGTATCAGTACATGCTTGAAATTTACACTGTAAGTTAATAGCTGCTAAGTGGATTTTATATTGAATAAATATGAAGAAACAGATAATTTCAGGTGATTGTCACAGTTCCTACACTGATGTAGGCAGAAATTAATTGAGATGTTAGATTTGGAAAACCAAATATTTTTATAGTTTGTTACAGTATAACACTTTTGACTCAACCCACATGCATGCACATGCTACCCATCATAGTAATGATACAGTGTATCTATTACGTGCTATATCATTGTCACAGTAATTAAGTGAATATAATATTTTTTTAATTATATTCTTTTTGTAAGAATTATATTTAGCATATTATTATTTTTTAAATTATTACTATTTTTTATTTTATACTAGAAATGTGTACAGGTGGCAATACATCTGAAGGTAGGAAATCTGATTTTGGCAGAAACTAATTAATATTTATATTTAGAAATTAAATCAATATTTTGGGATTATTGTATGTAGGATGTTATCTAAGAAGTATGTTAATGTAATTGCCAAGTTTCAGAGCAATTGGTCAAACACAGCCTAGAAGTGCATAGCAGACAAACAAACATCCTAATTTATACATATATACGAAGTGTCTCAATTAAAAGTTTCATAACTTCTAAGAGGGATAGGGTGCATCCCAACGACTCAGAATCATATAGCAATGCATGGTCAGAAATGCTTTCCTGAAGCAGTAGATGGCATTGCGCAAAAGTTCCAAGTGTTCTTGCAGGGAATCGTCATTTCGCACAAGGACGCAGAGTTAGCCAATATGCATTTGGTGTACGGGGCTGCAGATTGCAGTGGGCCAGCTGCACAGTGCTTGTACGCGAAACAATATTCAATGAGGCATATTCCCAACCATAATTTCTTTGCAAGCCTGCACCAGAAGTTAGCTGTTTCAGGAAAGCATTTCCGACCCTGCAGTGCTATATGATTCCAAGTCGTCAGTATATACCTTATCCCTCTTAGATATTCTGAAACGTTTAACTGAGACATCCTGTATATATACATACATACATACATACATACATATGNTAATTTAATTAATTATATTAAATTATAATAAAAGTATTACAAATAATAGATTTATACTCACTTTTAAATCTTGAACCTCTGTATAACATAACTAAAAAAAGTAGTAAAAAAATTAGTTTTAATTACAAGGCATTAATAGAAAAAGACAATTATCATTATTATTATTATTAATTCACTTAATCTATTTTTGATAAAAGCAATACAATATAGTTTTAAATATGGAAAATAGTATTATTATACAACTTGTTGCTTTGAACTTCAAAATATAAATGAAGAAAAACTGAAAAAACTTAAGCTATGTAAAAATTTTCTTACTTGTGCAATATTCATTAACTCTCTTCAAAACTTTTAACTATATTTTTTGCATAAAACTAAATAAATCTGTAAATTTTATGAAATAATTATCTTTATATGTTTAGATAAGTATGATATACAATTGAACCTCTGCAAAGTAAGGGAATATGTATTATGCATTTTGTTTTTACTTAATATACTGTATACTATAGCTTTAATCCTATGTAAATTTTTGTAAGTTAGAAAAATACTAAAAAAAAATGTTAAATACAGTATACATATAACTAACACCTTATTCTTGCTGAGAAAAATATAATTTATTTGTTCAAATTTGTTCTAAACCTGAGGATGGCCTGTGAATCAGGCTGAAAACGTTTGTTTCAAATAAATTATATTTTTCTCAGCAAGAATAAGGTATTAGTTATATGTATAGTGATTTGCTGAGTACTTTATGATATTGTTAAATACAGTATTAAAAAAGACAGTAAATCATTTGGAAAAAGGGGGAAAATCAAAGCATACAAATGCACAGGAAAATTTCACACTAACATTATCAAAACTGTAAAAAGCTGACAGATTGGCAACAGTAGCATCACCTATACTATAAAAATTTACTTTATTTCATACTTTTGAAAATATTTTAAAAATTACAGACTTAGCAATAAAAACATACAAGTTGCAAAAAATGTAAAAAACTGAAATTTAATCTATGAGAAAATTTATATGTAAACTAAATGGAAAAAATCTAGCAACAAGTTATGTAACTTTCTCAGCTATTATGAGATTTTATTAAAGATAAAACTTTTATATTATTAAGAAAAAAACTAAAATTGTATGTGGCGCCATCTGTTATCAGATTTTGTTATAAAAACTTTTTATATTTTTAATTACTATAAAATGGCAAAAAGCTTAATTTTGAGGGCAAGGATGAGTTTTATGAAAAAGTGTAAATGTTAATAATGAATAAAATCCTCATTATGTCCTACCCCTCTCGAGATACATGACCTTTTACCCCCAAAATTTAATATCATCAATGTCCATCATATGCAAGCCCCCATACCAAATTTCATTTCCTAATGTATTTCACACATATTCATAGAATTTTTTTTGTTGTTTTTTGATTTTTTTGGATTCAGGAAGTCTCAAAAGATGGAGATTTGCAAAAAAAGCTGAGGGTCAAATTTTATATGATTCTACTATTTTCCCTTATATATAACAGCTGGAAAAAGTAAAATTGGGAGCAGAAAAATATGACAAATTGTGGGAAAATGGAAATTCCAGAAACATATATACAGGGATCAATTGTATAATTGTTCTAATAATCTAATTTAAAAAATTCATAAGCTATTCTGGATCTAATCTGCAACTCTAATTTTTATATCTATTACCCATTGTCTTAAAGAAGTAGATGTCTCCTTGTTCTTAGTCACTAAATAGTAGGTTCTTTAATCCTCTTATCTAATGAACAGTAAGTAGAATCTTTATAATAAAGGCTTTCTTATTTGTCAATTCTGTTAAATAGCTTCAATGCATCCCTTTATTTTATCAAATCTAATTTGTCTTTAATAGTTCTCAATATAGTCACAACTAATGGAAATCTAATGCATACTCTGAAATCTGTACCTTTTATAAATAGTCTAATAATAGAAGCTAAATATTTTCCCGTGACTAATAAAATTTTTGCCTTCTTCTATCACACACTCACCTTAATGCTTTAAATATTCTATCCAAGAGGTTTAAGTATAATTTAATTAAGTTTTCAATTACTTTCAATTGTAAAAAAAATGTGAAATTGCTATCCTTCTAATTCTATCAAATTCTTTTAGTTGTTTCTAAAGTAATGAATGCTTAATAGCTCTTTTTTAAACACAGGAAAGGCACTAATTTGAACTTTTAATAATGATTATATATTTATATTCATTATTAAATATATTTAGAAACTTAAACTGACATCAAAAATAATGAATTAATAATTTTCATACCTCACTCAAAGTATTATCACTAAGTTGAACATTCCATTGGCATGGTAGACGATATATTAAATATGGATGTTGCTTCAAAACAGCATTAAATATATCCTAAAATATAAATGAATATATTAGAGCATATATTAACAATACATATATTAACTATCTATTACAGTAACAAAATAAGAAAAACTGTTATTCAAATATCATTGAGAATTTAATATCATAGTAGAGTATCAATTATCCAATTCAGGACTGGGGTTGTTCAGATAATTAATCATTTACAAAAAAATATATTAAACACAAAACTGTACTGTATATAATTTGTATCACATGTCTTACAAATACATACCTTACATAATGTAATACATTAAACTAGGCCTACAGTTCAGTTTGGCAGGGAGGGGAAAAGTGCTGCAATGCCACAGCTATAGTGGAAATTTGAATTTGCCGACTGGAATGCTTTCGGTTAACCAATGTTTTGGTTGATCTGTATTCGGATAATCAATGCTCTACTGTACTAATAAGTTTAGGGGACAGTACAACAATTAATATTGTAGAAGAGTTTTAAAAAGTATAAAATAGAGTAGTTAAATAAATAAGTCATCTGTTTCATCAAATAAGTAATTTGATGGAATGAATGCAAATCATAAAATATCAATGAAGAATGTGGAAAACAGATGAATAAGCAATATAAAATACAAAAATAAATATATAATAAACTCCTTTAAAGGAGTAATATTTGTGAATAATAAAAAGAAAAATAAAACTTTTTGTAATATTTACAATTATTTTAGAGGTTGGATCAGTTAAAACTAGTTAGTGCTGTGTCAATAACCAATCTATCAAACCAAAATTAATATATGTTTACAATATCTACAGTGAAACTTGTGTAAACCAGAATCATACAGTATCAAAATTATTTCCATTTTGAATGGGTTGTTTTTAACACAGAAAATTGTTGCGTTCCTTAAAATTTTTCCTATTTGGGTAGGTTTCCATTTCATTGAGGCTATCTTTTGGTCAGGTTTTACTATATATCAATATCCAAATACCTGAAATATTGATAAACATTGAAAGACTCTCAATATCAAGCATAATATTGTTATCAAAATTTTGGTTTAGCACAGCTCTAAAACTAGTATCTAGTTTTATATCTCAAAATAATACTTGACAGTAACTATAAATGCTTAAAAAATTAGAATGTTGGAATCTGGTCAGAAGATGAGTTTTAGCTCAAAAGCACCGAGTTTTCTCAGTATTATTTCTTTACAAGCATTCAATTATATATAAAACGGGTATGCATTTCTGTATATGTATTTACATTCAACACTTTGTATATGCCTTAAATATATTTTTAAAAAGTTTAATTTATTCATTAATTAAGTATAAAAAGTTTTAAATTCTGAATATTTTTGTTACAACTAATCAGCATTCTTGTGATGACAAACAGTTATTGAATATATTTTAACCACACCATCTTGTAAAATAACTTATTAATGAGACAATTTTTTATGATAAAAATGATGGTATATTGAAATAATTATTTTTATGGAAATATTTTGACAATTGCTTGAATACAATACAATTGTTTAAAAATAATGTTCTTTGAAAAAATCTTTAGAACCATTAGAATTCCATCTTCAAAGTAGAAGAAAATAGACTATACTATACTATATGGAAGAAAAAAGCTATATACCATACTTTAGAGGGAGAAAAAATCAGCATTAATATGTTTTAACAAAACAAATAATGTTTTTCTTTCATAATATTGTTTATACATTCCTTTACTTCAGTTTAACACATTCAACCATAACTGATATTTAATTAAAACTTTTATAGAAGATGGAATGACCTGTAAACGATGAATATATGATACCTAAAATGTATTATCTGCTTCGTTTTGTAAAACAAGAATTTTCAACTGGTGTGCCACAAAATTTTTTGAAGGTTTATTAAATAAATTATTTTCAAAAGTAGCCAAAAGAACAATAAGTGTACATGTCAAAATTAAAACTTCTTTAAATTGATTATACAAGTTTTTCATTGTTATAATAAATAAACATATACATAATGTAGTAAAAAATATATACTCTTAAGCAAAATTATATGTGCATAACACCAGGTTATTTCATTTAAAATGAAATTTTCTTTAAATGCAAAATTTATCCATAATTGTATATATAATTTAATATGTTTAGTTCAAATTATTTTAACTTGAAAATAGTGGGACATGGGCAGGTTTCTATAGGCAATTATGCCACTTTTAAATGCAAATTAAGTCTTCATGTTAATTGCTTTTCTTAGATCAGATATCTCATTAAATGTTTAATTATAATAAACCAAAAATAAATAAGATTTTTTAAGAATTTTAATTATTATCTATTTATCAGAAATTGCTTTGTGTTAATAAATAAATAATGAAAAATACAATCTTTCTTCTTACTCTTTTTTTAATCATTATAATTTAAGTGTGTCACAAAAATTTAATTATAGGTTCAAGTATACCATGACATGAAAAAGGTTGAAAAACAGCATCATGAAACATTCTATTACATTTTTCCAACTCGAACATATTTAATAATATTTATATCAATTACAAACATGCAATGACATTAAAAAGTGTATTAATTTAATTTCATTAATTAAACCAGATTTTAAAATCATTTATATTAGTTTAAAAATGCTAATGTTAACATATAGAAAACAAAAAAAAAAAAAATTTAACCTGATCAGCTAAAGATGTAGATAACATGCTAAAAAGTTCTTTTTCAGCAGTCATTCTCCATGTATGCATCCATCCCAATTCTCTTAACAATTGCAAGTGAAGAAGAATTACTCCAGTATTAAAACCTCGTCCCTGTTAAATACAAAAAATGAGATTTAACTATATATATATATATATTTAGAAAAATCTATAAAATAATTGATATAATTTTAATTAAAGTAAAATTGAAATCATACTCAATAAAACAATATTTAAATTCATATTTTAAAAAAAAATAATCAATTCAAATTTTACCTAAAAGAAATATAAATTACAAATTTTAGTTTGTACTTAAACTTATTATGTCCAACTGTTAAATAAATATCAAAACAGTAAAAAATGATATTGCTTTAAATGTTTACTCTATAAAATTAATAAAAAGATATTAATCTAGATTGAAAATGAAAGTGTTAATTACAGCCCAATTTTAATTTAGCACTACCATTTGTATTTCTGAAACTGGCACTAGATTAAACATGGCACTAAACTGAGAAACTTCAAACAATAAGAATTATATATATTAATGAGGTTATCTACAAATTTAAGTTTGAATGTTTGAAAAACATGTGATTTGGTTATAATGTATAATTGTAATAATTAAAATAGAAGAAATTTTTTCCATCGTTCTCCATTTAATATTTACATGAAAATCCATTCACATTCATTGGCACTTTACGAGAATCATGCTCTTTACAAGGAATTACTGTTAAGTTTAGCTATACTTTTATATTATACTTATTTATGATTAAAATATGAAAAAGAATTCCTTCATTCAAAATCAACTAGAATAAGAAAACAAAAGATACATTAATAGAAATTCTATATGCCAAATTAAAATTTATTTATTTCTAATCATCAAAATTATTCAAAAGAATTGAAACAAATATGTTAATCAAAAATTATAAAAAAACAACAGATAATAAAATACATAAAGCTTTCACATTATTTTCAAAAACTAAGATATAATTCTTCTTAATTTTTAAGAGATATAAGCATTAAGAAAGTCTTTCTTGTATGCTTATAATGAACATTTGGCTAGGCCAACAATAAAACCATTCTGGTGATGAATACGTGTTGACATCTTTTTTGTAAAAATATCAGAGGTTTTGACTAGGACTTGAACTCAGATTCCCAGAGTTGCATCTTAAATGTCATTACTATCTCAGAAATCCAGCTATTGAATGTATTTTCTCATATCAATTTAATATTTCCATTTATTAATATAATTTAAATAAAAATATTTTAAAATAAAATAACTTACTGGAATTTAATTAAAATAATCAAACCACCTTACTATTTCCAGCAACGTATTTAATAAATTTAAAAACGTTTTCGACTATATTTAATAGTCTTCATCAGTTAAGAACTTTAAAACGGAAAACGAACGTAAAATAGAATGTAAGCTATACAACGGTTTAAAAATTAAAATTAATTACGTAAAACATAAATAAAATAAAATATTAAGAAATTAATCGTGGTAACGAATGAAATTAAATTAAAATAATTAAAAAATAAAAATTAATCGTCATGGTAAAAAGATTTCCATGCGCAGGATAGACTTTCTGCGTCTCTATGGTTGATGCATCCTTTGTTGATATGCGCCTTGTAAATTTCAAGTTTTTCAATATGTTTAAGGACTTGTTTGTTGGTGGCTGTCCTAATTATAGATGCTTTGTCCCAATGTACATTAATATCTTGATGTTTAGCAAAGGCTGCAAGGACGGTGCTGTCCACGTTTTTAGTAATAGAATATTTATGTTCTTTAATCCTCTGTTTTAAAAGTCTCATGGTGGCACCAACGTAAACTAGCTCTGAATTAAAACGGCGATCACTTAATGGAATAGAATAAACTCCTGTAGTATTGTAACTGTTTCCTTTCTTCTTGTCATTTCGTAAAATTCTATAAATCGTCGGATTACGACGATAGGTAACTCTTAAATTATTCTTTTGAGATACTTTTTTAATCATCGATTGAAGGAAAGGAATATAGTTGAGAACTACTCTTCGTCCTTGATTCTTAGTTGTAGGTTGCATATTTGTTTGATTACAAAATTTATCAATAAGAGCATTAATTTCACTTATACGATATCCCTGTTGTACAGCTATTGTACGTATGTTATTTAATTCTCTGTGTGTGTCAACCATACTCGTACAATGGGTATAGGCCCGCTTTATCCATGATCGAAAGGCTGCATTCTTAAAATTATGAGGATCAAAGGAATTCTTCGGTATAATAATAGGAAGATAGCTAGGCTTTCGATAAATATTTGTCCATATTTCACCATATTTACAAGTTATGGACAGATCCAGAAAATTTACGTTAATTTCACTTATCTGTTCCAATGATAAAGTTACACCATACGGGTTGTTATTCATTTTGTTAAGGAAATATTGAGCGCTATTATTATTCCTCCAAATGATGAAAACATCATCCACGTATCTTGCATATACAAGTATGTCATTTATAAAGACGGGCAGAACATTACTTTCTAATCGCCGTAATACTAGTTCACATAATAACGGAGATATCGGACTCCCCATTGGAACCCCTCTTTCTTGTAAATATGTGTTCCCTTCAAATGCAAAAAACGAAGTATAACAAATTAGGTGTGCAAGCTCTAAAATATGTTGGTGGTACTTCGTTGCATTATTAATGTTAGTAAGAAGGAAGTCTCTCAGCTCACAAAAACAAGGTGGTAATTTTATAGATGGAAATAAAGATTTAAAATCCATCACGGTCATAACTTCATTATCTTCAAGGCTAATGTTTCGGAGCTTTTCCACCAGTTGAACAGAGTTATTAATAGCATAAGGGTAATCTTGAATCCTTGGTCGGATAAATTTAACCAGTTGTTTCTCAATTGCAAAAGTAGGGGATCCACATTTCTGTATAACAGGACGTATAAGGCAGTCAGGCTTATGAGTTTTTCCAAAGGCGAAAATTCTCGGTGTTCTCGGTGCTTGTACTACAGAGTTATGCATTCGTAAATAGCAAGCTAAAGGGGTTGAAGAGAATTTTTTAACTCTTTGTTGTAGTGATTCTAAATACTTGTCAGGAGCAGGCTGGCACTCGGTTTCTCTTATTAAAAGAAGTTCCTACAACCAAAAACAGGAATACATCAGAGAAACCGAGTGCCAGCCTGCTCCTGACAAGTATTTAGAATCACTACAACAAAGAGTTAAAAAATTCTCTTCAATCCCTTTAGCTTGCTATTTACGAATGCATAACTCTGTAATACAAGCACCGAGAACACCGAGAATTTTCGCCTTTGGAAAAACTCATAAGCCTGACTGCCTTATACGTCCTGTTATACAGAAATGTGGATCCCCTACTTTTGCAATTGAGAAACAACTGNAACCCCTTTAGCTTGCTATTTACGAATGCATAACTCTGTAGTACAAGCACCGAGAACACCGAGAATTTTCGCCTTTGGAAAAACTCATAAGCCTGACTGCCTTATACGTCCTGTTATACAGAAATGTGGATCCCCTACTTTTGCAATTGAGAAACAACTGGTTAAATTTATCCGACCAAGGATTCAAGATTACCCTTATGCTATTAATAACTCTGTTCAACTGGTGGAAAAGCTCCGAAACATTAGCCTTGAAGATAATGAAGTTATGACCGTGATGGATTTTAAATCTTTATTTCCATCTATAAAATTACCGCCTTGTTTTTGCGAGCTGAGAGACTTCCTTCTTACTAACATTAATAATGCAACGAAGTACCACCAACATATTTTAGAGCTTGCACACCTAATTTGTTATACTTCGTTTTTTGCATTTGAAGGGAACACATATTTACAAGAAAGAGGGGTTCCAATGGGGAGTCCGATATCTCCGTTATTATGTGAACTAGTATTACGGCGATTAGAAAGTAATGTTCTGCCCGTCTTTATAAATGACATACTTGTATATGCAAGATACGTGGATGATGTTTTCATCATTTGGAGGAATAATAATAGCGCTCAATATTTCCTTAACAAAATGAATAACAACCCGTATGGTGTAACTTTATCATTGGAACAGATAAGTGAAATTAACGTAAATTTTCTGGATCTGTCCATAACTTGTAAATATGGTGAAATATGGACAAATATTTATCGAAAGCCTAGCTATCTTCCTATTATTATACCGAAGAATTCCTTTGATCCTCATAATTTTAAGAATGCAGCCTTTCGATCATGGATAAAGCGGGCCTATACCCATTGTACGAGTATGGTTGACACACACAGAGAATTAAATAACATACGTACAATAGCTGTACAACAGGGATATCGTATAAGTGAAATTAATGCTCTTATTGATAAATTTTGTAATCAAACAAATATGCAACCTACAACTAAGAATCAAGGACGAAGAGTAGTTCTCAACTATATTCCTTTCCTTCAATCGATGATTAAAAAAGTATCTCAAAAGAATAATTTAAGAGTTACCTATCGTCGTAATCCGACGATTTATAGAATTTTACGAAATGACAAGAAGAAAGGAAACAGTTACAATACTACAGGAGTTTATTCTATTCCATTAAGTGATCGCCGTTTTAATTCAGAGCTAGTTTACGTTGGTGCCACCATGAGACTTTTAAAACAGAGGATTAAAGAACATAAATATTCTATTACTAAAAACGTGGACAGCACCGTCCTTGCAGCCTTTGCTAAACATCAAGATATTAATGTACATTGGGACAAAGCATCTATAATTAGGACAGCCACCAACAAACAAGTCCTTAAACATATTGAAAAACTTGAAATTTACAAGGCGCATATCAACAAAGGATGCATCAACCATAGAGACGCAGAAAGTCTATCCTGCGCATGGAAATCTTTTTACCATGACGATTAATTTTATTTTTTAATTATTTTAATTTAATTTCATTCGTTACCACGATTAATTTCTTAATATTTTATTTTTGTGTTTTATTTACGTTTTACGTAATTAATTTTAATTTTTTAAACCGTTGTATAGCTTACATTCTATTTTACGTTCGTTTTCCGTTTTAAAGTTCTTAACTGATGAAGACTATTAAATATAGTCAAAAACGTTTTTAAATTTATTAAATACGTTGCTGGAAATAGTAAGGTGGTTTGATT